AATAAAATTCAATCGCAATAGGACGTTCATTGCGCAAACGCATTCAACAGCTTAATAGAACCTAGTCAAATACAGATGTATGTTTAAATTGTAATTAAAATAATATTCGATATTATAAATATTAAACCAATCGGTGATAAGACTATGACAATTCCAAATATCCTATTTTCTGAATAAAACGCTCTTTTATATCTTTTAGTTCAATCCCTGGTAGACAATATCTTCTGGGTCCTAGTTCCCATTGTATATTCATCACATATTACCATATTACATGATCGTTTCCATATGATTTCACAATGCAACCCATTATTCGCCTTGGCTTCCGGTTCGGTTCGTCGCAAGAATTTATGTGGTTTGATATTCATTTCATACTAATAATGTTGTGTTATATCATCAGCAAACCCTCAAGTTGGTTTACACAGACTGCCGTATGATCATAAAACTAATCGTAATTTGTTTATAATTATTTGTTAAAAAGTATCACAGTACTCGTTTTATACGACTATGTATAGTACATTTTATCCGTAACGATTTTAAATAAAAATCGTTTAAGTGTTTTTACTATCATTAACTGTCCTCGGAAAACAAGAATATTATCGTGTATAAACGAGTTATGGGCTCGTAAGGAAATAAAATAAATCGAATTCGCGAAGGATAATACGCAGAGCATTTCTACACATTTGTGAACGTACCCGTGTAATACATTTTATACCCGTATTTTCATCGTTGTACACTATTTCGATGATAAAATTAATATTATCGGTGAGTTCTCTTCCCGCTTTGGACGTCAAAGGTTTTAAAAATGAATGGGAAACCTAGACTATGCGGGTTTTGTATATTTACGTTGAAATTGAAACGACTGAAATTCACATAATTAACAAAACTGATCACGGAGTAAATGAATAACCGAGTATGAATCATGTTGAATATGATCACCTGACTTAGACTCGTATACAATGTATATATATTTATGAAAAAGTAATAGCAAGCGGGTAAAATAAATTTATAACCCGTACACAATAATAAATTGTGTACAATATGGACCTGTGTGTGTGTACCGATTAATGCATTATACATATTCCTTTATGAGCATATTCATAGGCGCGCCAAGACTATTTAAGCAGATCGTGCATAAGATAAATTTACAAATGCGATAGTTCGTTACCAAAAAAGAAAGAGAATACGATCTTCAAAAGAAGATTTTTTTTTTTTTGAAAAATTCATTATTACCTTATAATACATGTATGAATATAATTACAAACGTTCTTGATTCCTACTACGTTGTTTTGTCGTAATCTCAACCAGCGTTAATTGATGGTACAATCTGACGAAAATAATTCTTTTAAAAATTCGGCACAAAAATAACTGATACGAACATGATCGCTGAGACAATAATATTGCTATCGTTCTGAACACTAACACTAACACTAACACTAACACAAACACTAATTGCAAACGTGTTATACACCAAGAGTTCATCATTTTGTCAATATGATATTTAGTAGTTACCGATTTATAATTTTTTATTGGTTTTTTTTTTCTATTCAGCGTTTGATTTCTATGTTTTATTATTATTTTCCCAAAAATCATTTAACATCAATTGTACACCCAATCGTTTATAAATGTGCGGATTTGTTGTGCGACGACCGTTGCGAAATATATTATAATATGTTATGTTCAATTCAATAATATATTATTTGAAATGTCTACGTTGTTGGCCATTGTATTAAGACTTTTGACCGATTGTATTTTATCACTGCTGATGTTTTTACAACCGTTGAAGTGTTTAGTTTCGTTTGAAACATCGAAAACACTTATCAATATTACAAAGACAAAGCCTTGGCCACGACGTTTGTTTCAGATGAACAGTCTTGAACATTACGTTCGCGATTGGATTCCAATATTGCTTCTCGTTGCTCGTTTGTTTCAGAAAATCTTATTTCCTTTTTCTTTCGTGCATGAGACGTAGAACAACTGATCGCTCGTTTATTGGGAGATATAACTGCACGGAAATTGCGTTGAAATGTGTTGAAAATGAATTTAAATTTGTTGAACGTCGATCAGCAATCAACATTTCGAATGAATTTAACGATATGCTAAATTACGAAACACAATTCTGAAACAACGCGCGCGCCCTCCATCAAAACATAGTTTTATCAACTTAGAGACCTTTGCGGGCATGCGTCCAACCATTCTCAAAAATCGCATCGCAATCAGATGAACGGATACTTGTGTATAACTCTCTCTCTTGTCCTGATTCATTGAGCTGTGTGTCTTGTCGTGATTATATTGAAATTGTTTTTCGATACGATTTTGAAACAATTTAAAATATTTATGAATACCATACTGTTCATAGTGTATTACACTATCATCTATTACTCTTACTTATAGTATATATATATATATTAATTAATTACTACAATATTTGTCAATTTACATTATAAAACAATATCTATACGTCTGGGTACTTTAGGCATTATATCAATGACCTCTTCGCAAGTCACATCCACGTCGCTGTAGAATTAATCCATTCCAGGTAATACGGGTCGTTACGAATTGCCCGTAGGCAATTAAATTATTATGTTGATAACGATGATAATATTATTACACTCGTCGTCTACATTACGTACATCATTGAATTTGCGGCGACCAGTGTCGATCAGTTATTTATAACATATTCACTGCGAAACTGCATTATTATACGGTAAAATGGTAATTGTATTGAATATATCAATTTACAAGCCACGGGAAACTTTTACATAACTAATAACTATTTTAACTTATTCATTAGTCATACATTTGTAGGTCAGATAATTTATTTTTTGCTCCTGATATTTCAGTGGAGGGGAGAGTTAAATCCCCCAAAACCTCCTTGCGTTCGCCCCTGATGTACGCACCCGGACAGCATGCCTACCCACGTCTTGTGCACGACCGCTATGAATTGAAAAAAAAAACAAAAAGCCACGACAGGTGCTCGTTTTTCGTGCTGCTGATTTCGACGCGATCGATCCGTCGTCTAGACGCGTTAACAGTACGCTCCAATAACTCGTTGAAATTCGGTTTCCTCGGAAGATTTTGCGTGCGACCCAAGTCGACACGCGGTAAACAAATATGTTCGTCTTTTCGAACCGTACCGATAAATTATCATGTCCTATTTTTTTATGAAAACATTATTCGTTTCGAAACCCGTGCTTTCGGAAGATAATGTTTTTACACGTGCGTCGATTCTTGATGTTTGCAACTGTACTTCTATATAAATTTGGAAATAACTCGTGAGATCTCGCAGTCATCATTATAACGTTAACTCAGCACTGGTATATCGACAAAAGATTTATGGGTATTGTCGTTGAACCAAACTTGTTTGTAGTATTGGTTAAAAATAAAATACAACATTACTACAGCATCCGTAAGCCGGTAAAACATTATAAACCGAAACAAAACTCAGGTAGGTACTGCCTGTATAGTGTGGAACACGATAAAAACTCAAAAAACACAAGTTATACTCAATCGTTTATATTATAAGTACATTAAATTTTCCAGCCAGTGCATACCTTATTGCGTGAGTACACATAGCACATTTGACCAATTAATATTTTTTTTTGACATTTATTTCTATCATCTAAATTTTGGTTTATTTAAATAATTTATATAATGTTACCTTAAATGTTAAACGAAACACTCTTGTATTTTTTTCAAAATTTTCCTATGAATCGAAATGTCACACGTTTTTCCATTGGGCCATTACAGTGAGTACAAATATACACTAATTATCCCATCATTTTCAGAAACGCCCTGTATAATTGCTTTGTAATCAGCACTGTCCGGTCGTGACGTGTTGACAGGCCTGTTACAATATTATACACATTCCGGTGTCTCGGTTAATTTGGTTTCGCGGTTAATGTCAAATTGAAACGTATGGCATTGTTTTTGTGTTGTCTCAGCTTATAACTATAATTTACTTGTTGTACTGAAATTGAATATTGAAACTGAGCGCCGTTGTATTATAATATAAAAAATATTATTATCAGTCCACACGCACGCGAGTCGAATTGCATACGCGAACCAACATATTTCGTTTACGTTCCATCTGCATAATATCTTCGTAGTGGTCGAGTACATCTCGCGCATTAAATTATATGGTATATTAATAGAGTACCACTCGAGCTCGCAGTTTTCACTGATTACCATCTAACACGTATCTGCCGACAATCTGCGACACGGCAACACCCACCGTTCGGTTTCGATATGCTCCGTTTATTGTGGTGTAACTAGTGATGGGTCACCAGGTATTTACCCGATGGTTAGGTAAATATTGATGGGCAAATATCGGGTATTTACATACCTTTAAAAGTGGTCATACTATAATATAGAAATATTGTTTTATCATAATATGCACGATAAGATCTGTATTATTTATGCTCCGGGCTTCCCCAGTAAGTTAGAAACACTTGGTTATTCCATCGCTGATAAGTGATAACTAAGCGTTCAAGTAGTTTTAGTTTTGTTTAATACTACTTAATAGTGAGTAGTTTTATGCTTACCTAAACAAAAATAATTTATTTTAATAATTCCACTAGACTTTCAAGTCTATTGTTTAATTACTAATAAATGTATATATAAACATTTATATATACCCAAAATACCGGGTAAATACTCGGTATTTACCCAGAATATTTACCCAACATTGAATTTACCGGGTTTAATTTACCCATCACTAGGTGTAATACGATTATTACCGTTTCATTTCGAAACTTTTTAGAAAACCACGTCCATCTTTTCTAACACTAGAACGATACGAACAATTTTTCCCGATAAGTATCATGTAAAATAACTGTTGTTTGAAATTAATAAAAAATCACATTAAATTAGACCTCTTCGGTTCGGGATCAATGTGTAAAAATAATACGTTTAAACAACATATAAGTAACTTTCTTTAAGTAAATTGTGATACATCCATCTAACTTTTGCCGTGTATTTATCAAAAAATTTATTTTTTTCAGCATATGTGTTACGGTTGTAGTGCTGAACGTTCATTTCCGATCACCGCAAACACACAAAATGGCGCCTTGGGTGAAAAGAGTATTCATTCATATCCTGCCACGACTTTTGGTGATGCGGAGACCACAGTATCAATTTGAACCAAACAAGTAATGAATTCATCTCGTTACTTTTAACAAATTTCCCGTTATGTATCATGACGGTTAATAGTAGATATTAGACATAATGAAAGATATTTAATATAATAATATTCCAGGCTAAGCTTTTATTTATTTGTTTATTTATTTTTATACCTAATGAACTTTTTGTTTATTTGTTTATATATTAATTCACAAATATTAACAATTTAATAGTGTTTAATTCATATTTAATTTTTGATTATTTAATTATTAATAGATATTAAATTTCTTCGTTTCGCTAAAAATTAACAACAGCTTCAACAAAACAAATATCAGTTTCGGTAATAATATAAGGTAGGGGTGTCTGTGTGTATGTGTGAAGAATTCTGCTCTCTCGACTCAACCATGAACACCTTTCAAAACAGTCTTATATATTGTTTGCATATCGCACGGTGTTGGATGACAAAATGCCAAAGTCACTGACTGTTTTTAAAAACATGTAAAACGAATATAATATAACGTAATGAAAAAAAAATATTGCACACAAAGGGAATTACGTTATAAGTGATTACAATAATAGTGTTGTTAAAGTGTTTAAAAATCATGTAATTTCCACATTTATATTTAATGCAATTTTTTCCAAAAAATTACGATAAGCCACGCTTAATATTCAGTAACTGTAGTTCATGTATGAATATAACTTCGCCCGTAAATCTACGGCTTCCTCGGAGATCAGTTTTATCCGTACGTAACATAAAAATATCCGTCAATCGAAAGGTTTAACTGAGAAAATCATTAAATGCTCGATCACATATGTGTGTGTGTGTGTCTGTAAGAAAATAAAACATTTTATTTTTTCTTATAAAAGTTTCGTGCCAAGTTTAAACCATCTAATGAAAACTATTATTCCTCTATATATATATACTCGTACAAACGTGGCGGTTATAATGAAAATTGAACGGTAACGAACTAAACGGACGAAAAGCAAATAATAGTATACTGCAGCATCATAATGTTTACCGACAGAAATAAACAAAAACGTTAGTCGTAATTTGTCGTTTACTTTTATTTACGTTTCTCTCATGCGAATTTCAAACAAAATGGCTGATCGACGAGGGAACTATTATTTTAAAGTATAAAAGAAAAATTCAAGAAATTATCATATTATATCCTCTAAACATTAAAGTGTTAACACTTAAAGTTTAAAGGTAGTATAGTTAATTGTCGACTCTCATTTTTTAATTTTATAACGAATGAATGATTCGAAAAGTATAATACACAAAAATGTATACACAAATGTACGATTATGCATAGAAGTCGTAATAAATATTATTTTAGTTTTGCACGAAAATTTCAAAACGTAATTAATGAATTTTTTTCTTTTTACACTTCACATAAAACAAATCCTGCAAATAGAAATGACGTTTATTAATTTTAAATTAATTTCACTTGCATGATATATAAAACAAAATATTCTTATGTATTTAATTTTATTTATTTTTCTATAATATTTTTTGTATGATAACAAAAACAAAATGAAAATATTAATCATATTATAATATTACGTAAATAGGATATTTTTATTTTTATATTTTATTTTCCCGATTTTAACGTAGTTATTGAATGTATTTAGAAAAAGAACAGGGAATAACTATGAAAAAATAAACACATTCTGAAAACTTTTTTCCCATTTTATGATAAACTAAATCTCATTCAGAATCCATTGTTTTTCGAATGAAACACTAATGGTCAAGTCACTTAGCTGCACCAAAATAAACGAAGTGAAACAGGCGGATGGCATATTATTTTAAAGTGATTTATTTTCTCTGATTTTCAAATATACCTTCCCCACATGACATTCGAAAACATTTATCTGTTTCATATTTTTGTTTAAAATTTTGATGTTTTGAGTGAAGCGAAGAAAGTTTTTAATGTTGTAAATATTGAAAACTCTCTTTTTTATTTTTTCTATTTTTTTACCCTTTTTCCAACTGTTACTTTACCTTCATGGCATTGCATACTTTCGGTACGTACTAAAAAATGTAATTCACTTTTATTTTCCAAACGTAATTTCAATTTTTTATTTCAACTTGACCTAACAATAAGGTTTAACCGTATTTTATTGTTCATTTTAAAACATCGATGTTCGGCTGACATTAAACAACTAAAATGATATATTATTTGCTGAACGTGCGTTTGAAGTTTACAGTGGCTGAATGCGGTGGTCCGGGGAAATATTCAAACGTCCCGAATATTTTTAGCATTCTACATCACTCCATTTAACATAAAATGTTTCCGTAATGCATTATTTGTAAATTATTTGTTAAATGTAGGATATTGAGACATAACAACTGTATACTGAAAAAGATCTCAAGTTACAATTTATTAAAAAAAAAAAAAAAAAACTCAAAACCACTAGACAATGAACGTAAAAAAAAAATTTTCTTTATGATAACTGTGGATTTAGAAACAGTTGTGATTCTTAATGTCTCGGGATAAGAACATATTGAACGTTTAGAAACGAATCATTTAAATTTTATTAAAAACTTTTTAAAAAATACGAATTTTTAAATTAATGAATATTACTTTTGGAAAGACATAACGATCTGTACTAAAAAAATGTATAAATATTTTTTTTATGCGTTTAATAAATAAACGATATGATAAAAATTATGTTCGTTTGATTTAGTTCATGTATATTCATCTCTGAGTATTTAAAAACAAATTCATATGATAATTACAAAAGTTTCATTGTAACGCGCTTTAGCTGTACAATATTCTGTTGTTGTACCAACGCGGCTGATGCGACATGGAATAAAAGGATACTTCATATATTTAGATCTCTCATGAAGTCGAAACTTGACATTATTATTAATGCCATGTCGTTTTATCGATATTTTAAATATTAACATTACATGTACGTATGTTAAACTATTAGCTTTTAAAAATAAGCATGTGCCAAAAGTAGTCTAAAAGCGTTATAAAATTCTCAAAAAATAAAAATAAAATTTATAAATATTTATTACGTTTTACGATCGAAAAAAAAATTAAAAAATATTAAAAATAGTTTTTTCTCACGCTTGCGCCAAAAGTTTAATTTTCGAACGCGGTTGAAGCGTTGTAAAACGGACCTTTTTCCGTCTAACTGGCGGTAAAGTGATTACCCCCAAAAGTGCCGGGCGCGTATTCCCAGAGCACAACAAGAAACTGAAACGTACACAGCGGTCCTTAAAAAACATTAAACTTTTGGTTAGATCTTATATTCGTGTTATGAGTGTACACGCCGTTGCATGGATCCCTGCATTACCTTTTTGGCAAACGCGCAGGGACGTGACGAGAAACGGTACACGCGGGAAGTCGATTTCAGAGTCGGGCGAGATGTGGCTCTCGCCCGCGACCGAAATCGCTTACTTCCCGCCCTTTCCGTACACAAAATATACCATATCGGACCGTGTTAGTTTTTTGGTTTTCATTACGAGCGCTTTGGTTCTCCGCGTCTGGCTTAACGCGAACGGCAAAAAACATATTTACTCTGCGTACACCAGTGTGTTTTTCAAGCGCGGGAACAGCGTGAACACGTTGTTGGCAGTCGTTACGGAGTGTATAAATTATTATATCATCATTAAAAAAAAAAAGAGTTAATAGGCATCCTAATAACGTATATCGGACGATTTATTTGCGTAATATACACGGAAAAAAATCGTCAAACTTTTCTACTTATGAGAAAAAGCTGTGACGTATTAATAATCTACAAAAAGCGTGTAAAACAAAAAATTTGCAAGCTGAAAATCGAATCTATGTATAATCATGATGACATAATTGATAAAGAATTGTTTTGTCGACGATGTAACAAAACAACCAACACCGTTCGCATTTGTCCATTGTACAACTGAACTATGAGTCATAACAGTAATATTATTACTGTTGCGGGACTGTAAAATAATTGTCAATTGTTTTTGAATTCATATCGTTTTATAGAATTTTTAAGCTTCTTACTCTCGACTTGGAACGAAATAGTCGCCGAGGGAGAACGTTATTTGATTATATTTCACTTACAAAGCTTCAATTCAAAACAGATAAAAAAATATAATTTTCAAACCAAAACAGGACGAGAGCTTTGTAAATCTCTTATTACAATTATGTTCTGTTTTATATTTTACAGTTTTAAATTTAAATAGGGGATCTCCGAAAATGTTTTTATTTTTAGGAAGCTTACAAATAAAGTTGAATAGAATATCAGTCTCATGTGTACCATATTTAATATTTTTTTATGTTCACATTTGATGACATTTTCAAAACGTTAAATTAAATAACAATATTATTATGTCAATCTAAAACTGATTGTTGAACCACGTATTGATACGTTGATAATATCTGAAAAAACGTCATTTTTTTCAGCAGCCACCCAACAATTGCAACACACTATATTTATTTTAAAAATTATCCGAATGAAATAGTTTTGGACGATTTATACATATATTGGTCGACCACATTTTTATTATTATATTTTATTTAACTAATTTAGAAAAACTTTTTTCACCTATTAGAATAGTACATTAAGTTTCTCGGAAATCAAAATGAGAAAATTTAGTTAGCCCACATTAAGTAAAATATACGTATATTATCTCGCATAGCTATTATATTGTTGATAAATGGGTTGTTTTATGAAAATAACCAAATGCAGCGTTTGAAACTTTAGAATTTATTTAAATTTAAATTTTACTTAAAAATTAAACTCGTTCATGTTCATGTTAATTTCTATTAAAATGAAAACGTTCACTCATCCTTTTGGCCGTTAATTTAAATTATTATACTTTATATATATGAACCACCAACCTGTATTCTGTACAAATGCAACATTTATAAAATGTATATAAATATATAAAATATATATTTAAATGTATAATTTACTTGTGTTTAAGACCTATATTTAAACACATTTTAATCAATATTTATTTTATTTATACATATAGTTTTTTAAATGGTAAATAAATGTGAACGCCACAAAAATCTTTCAAATGCATTAAAAATAAAAATGTCGTTCATGTAAATGTTGTAATTGAAAAACGCAAGTGACGTTTGCGTGTCGTTCACAAAATATAAACGTAAACGCGTGAACGTGCATTTACCAACGACGTTCTTTCCAAACACTGACCATAAGTGATTAATGCATCCAAAAAATATTACCTCTATTTTAGCATATGATAACTTCACTTGTAGACGTTTAGTTCGTTCAATATCATTAGTAAATTTGATATCCTAACAACATTAGTATTTATATATGTTTCAATATTTTTACCTTTTGGCATTTTCCCGAGAAATGAAGTGTATTATAGTTTCGTTCTGAAAATAAATTACATTAAAAGAAATATAGGAGGACAAAATTGTAATTCATAACATACTGAATTTTTTTATTTGTTATCGTAAGCTTTTTTAGATCAAATTCTTTGTTAATAATTTTAGTTGTTTTTTAGCTATCAATTTACAAAGTTCAATTATAATATTAAAGCACTGTTAGTCTATAATTTTATACCAAAGAAATTACAGTAACTTTGGTCATCAAAGATCAAGTTTAGTTACAAACATTAATTTTACAGAGATTTTATTCAATAAACGTTTTAATGATAGACCTTATGTCGTTAAGCATATTTTACTCATTTAAGTTTTAGATTCTGAATGAAATAAACATTTTGCTGGTTTTTATAAAGCTGTGTATATATTTTTTTTTCTTTCCTGCATTTTTGTACAAGGTTTTGACCAAAATTAGTGTTTCACACATCACTTAATAAAAATAGAATATAGATTCTTTTTAGTATTTTAAGGAAGTATTTTTTTTAAGTTTTATAAAGTAATTGTAAAAAACGATTGGATACAATTTTTTTTATATGATTTTTTTTGTAGAAACACTATAAAGTTTCTAAATGTTTTACAAGCGTTATAAATGACATTTTATGAAAATAGTATTAATAATTATTAAAAAAAACTGACAAAAAATTATATGAATAACGGCAAAAATACGGCTTATTCATTTTCGATAGGATTTCATTTTCCTTTTCATCGTCACTTTAGAACTAATTACCTTTTTCACCCATAAACATTTCATTCAAGAGCAATGATTCATTGAATTCAATTTTAAAAGACTAATACTGTAAAACCATTCACTCATCCCTGTATCTTGTTCGACCGTGGAGTCTCGCCCTTCTTTATTTTACTAACAAAAAGAACCAATTGTGTAACTCGATAAGCCATTCAAAAATAACTATTGTCAATACTTCACTTAATCGAACGATTTTATATTGTTTTTAACACATAGACAAAATTTTATATAATTTGTATTTAATATCGTAGAATTGTAGAACCCTGGGATTTTAAATATTTATTTCCAAGAACTCAAACTCATAGGATTATTTAAATATATTTAATAGAATACATTTTGCACAGGAGTTAATTATGTGAGGTATGTATCGATGATTTACCATATTTATTTTATTTTAATAAGTGGCATCTACATATTTTTTTCTTTTTACCACACACTTTGTACCGAAAATATGACGTTCACTATTCACAAAGATACAATACAATTACACGTTGGGTCGCACAAATTGAACGATGATAACTATTTTAAACAAAGCTTTTGGGAGAAAGATGTTCGTCGGATATTATGATGCAGCATCGTTGTTAATGTTAAAAGGAATGTTTATCGTTTTACAGATTCAACGCTGGTTCGATAATGCTGAAGGGCCGAGACATACATCCGTGTTTCTTCCAGGCAGGCTGCGGGTACGACAGCACAGAATCCGGCAAAGATAAAGGTCGCCGGCAAACCGATGACAGCAGCGTGTCGAAAAGCACTAGAGAAACATCCAAAGAAGACTTATCCAGGTCAGCAGTGCCCGTATATACTACGCGTAACACTCCGGGCGTGAAATTGTCCAATTCGTGAAATGGCCATTATCGTTTTTCTTTTTTCTTTTTTTTTGTCTTATTTTATCTTTTCATCATCAATTCAATGAAACGAGCAAGTGACATTCAAGCCGTTGGATTGTACGATATATTATAATATATATATACGAATGAGATTGGCGATTGGTCCATTTCACGAAACAGACAAAAGCGTAAATTGCTTTCTTCCGGAGGCGGTTTTCGATAATGATATTGTTCAGAAATCGTACGGGATAACGTTTCATAATGGGAAGGGAGGGGCAAAGGAAAAATCAAAAATACTATCGTGATAGCAATACGGCATGGTCGTGTTGTAGTGCACAAGCTTTTACGTGACTCCTGCGGAATGCTTTCGCAGCCGATATCGTTTAACGAACGTTGTATCGTTGCGCTATTATCGCGGTTTGCTATATGGTTCGGAGGAAAAAATTCCCCGCTTCACCCGGAGGATAACTACGCTGAAATGTAGCCATATCGCCCGGCAAAGTCAGAAAGTTGGTTAGTCTAGTAGCTCCTTTAGAACCCTGACCGTTCGATTCCATCCGAATTGTTCTGATGTAGGTTAGAATTAGAATCTGATTAGAATCTCATCGGATTTATTCTTGTTTTATTAACGGTTCGGCGGGTTTCGTGTAAATAGCGTAAAATTTCGCAAACTGTGAACGTCCATTTATTTCCCGACGAAATCGTTAACGAATGACGCGTATAATATTTACATGTGCCGATTTACATTAATAAATACATTATAATTAGAATCGAACTTTTTTAAGTAACTTAAAATTACACCTTCAACTACGTTTCTTGGGAAGAGTGTTTTATATCAAATTTATTCCGAAACTATGAAACTAAACAATTAATAGGGATAAATAAAATTCGTTGAAATATTCAATTCTGTAAAAATTTAATTTTATAACGCTTATATACATTTTTACGTTTTTCGTTACAACATTTTCCACTATTAAGTATAAAAATTAAAATTTTGATTCGTTATTTTAATTGTTTATTGAAATAAAAATCAATATTTGTCATTATTTAACAATAGTTGCGTATTAAGATCTTCTTAAAATAACCCTATTCAGAGTATCAATTATACTGCACTGAGTGCTCAACTGATTTTGGAAAATGTTTAACCAACCGTAATTTTTACAAACACTTGATAATGTATCTTTTGTATGTACATAATGCGAATATCTATTAACTTGTTTATATACATTTTATAATTTTTCTTTGTAATAATTTAAGTTTTAAGTTTAACACTTCTTTCTTAAGTATTAGAGTTGGAAGAATTCGAATGCAAGACTTCTAATGCTAAAAACGATAAATATTTTAATATATTTTTATTTTAAGACCAATTTCGTTGGCCAAATGTTAAAATATTATTGTAATTCAATCATGTTCATTGATTTTATCAATATATTATTGATTAATGCATACGACTAAAAACCTATAACATTTTGCCGTTCAACAGTATACAACTAAGTAGGCGAATTTTACGGTTGGTGAATAATTTATTTTAATACTCAAAGGCTCATAATCTTAAGATTTTTTTTTTTTTAATCAAGTTCTATTAATTTGTATTAATTAGCAAAAGTTAAGTATATTTTTATTTTTTTTTATTTTAATATAAAAGTTTTAATGAAGATGATGTCATCTAAACTTAATAATAATTATAATGTAATCTGACATTTATAATATTTGCAGCTTTTTAATTTTATGTATAAAAACTTTGTATCACATTTTCAATAATTTTTTTAGACCAAAATTATTTTGTTGAAATGTTCTAAAATAAAGCTTAGAAAATGCAATTTTTTCACTAATAACAAAATAAAAACTAACAATTTGATATACGTACATAAAAGTAGTTTTGTAATAAAATACGGAGTTATAGTGTAACAAAAAAATAAATAAATAAAATGATACCGTTTTATTTGCGCGGATCTATATTATGAAGCTATAAATATACACAACGTGACTTGAAATAACGTGTTAACTGTCGTGTCGAAATAGTGCAATTTCCATCGCGTTTATTCTCAAAGCAAACCTTGCGTATTCCGATGTGCGATAAATTATAAAAATTAGTATTTTTATTATATACGATTATTACTAATAATACCTACAGAGACGCGTGCGACATTCATAATTGCCCCTTTCGTTATGCTTTGTGCTCCGGTATGAGGATAGAGGTCTATAAAAAACCACGAAATTATTCGTCAGAATCATAATGACTTCGGACTACAAAACGGAAATTTACATTTTAATACCGTTGTCAAAGAACGTTCCACTGATATTGGTAATACATTGAACTATTTAGAATACAAGTGACGTGTCATATCGGATATCTTTGGACGGGGGGTGTGAATGGTAACTGGTTTTTAAGCGTAATAATTCAATTCGTGATTTCTCGAAAAACGTGACCGTAAAAACGGGCGTAAATAGAGAATTTCAATGGGGGAGGTATGCTTCAGCCCTACCATTTTTAACCAAAAATTATAGGTTGAGGTTTTTTCCCCATACTTTTAAATGATCCAAAATAATGATTAAATTATTATTATTAGTTATGATCACTAAGAGCTGTTAGATGATGCAAGACAAAAGCTTTGTTAAATAAAAAAAAATTACAATCATATAAAATAATAAATTTATACGTTACAAATCGATAATAAATCCTGGAGCTGAATTCATATAAGGGGTGATTTAGCCCCCACAAGCCCCGTCATATTTGCACTTATGCTAACAGCGTTTGTTCGGCCGACTAGAATAACAACGCTGGCCCGTCGTCGCTTTCAAAAAATCATACCAGAAGGAAATTCTCTCCGCCCCCATAGGTCCTGCCAGATGACGCTCGCCGCTTTCGAGTATTCGTCGGATGGAGTGAGTAAAACGTCAGCTGTCTCTCCCGCCCGTAGGATTACTCTTCCGGACGAGCGTGTGCACTCTTGCGACGTTCGGAAGTGCCTTTCGCGCCGAAACGTTCACCGTTGTGCGCGAAAGACGTTCGTCACGCAATTATTGACGTTTAACCGTATCATACCGCCCAAATTCGAACGTCTGCTTGACGTTGATTACCGTAAAAATAATACGAATGGTTTCCCAAAACGCAAATTTTAAAATTTCAAAATCGAAACCGCCCGTTTAAACACATGAAACGAACGGAATCAGTTTTGACTTTCAATGTGTGTAATAATTATAACGATAATAAGTGAGCTCGGTGCGGAAACGGTTTTCGTACATCGTCTCAGCTCTGTGCTATCGACGATAAATACGCTAAATGCTACCGACGCGTAGGAAACGTACCGCGTGTTAGTCGAAAAAATGTCGGATCAACTCGACCCGATTTGCGGACGTAATAACTTTATCATTATCTTTTCTTTTTTTTTTTTTTCATCCCACGGACGCAGCGACGGCGAAGGAGGCAGCTGCCGAATACACGGGCCGGCGCAGAGCCTGATCTCCGACGAGATATCCGTCACGGAGATGACGACGGACTGCAGCAAGAGTTCGATACTGCTGAGGAGCCCGGGGTTCCTGCACTCGTCGTGTCCGCCGGCCATGCACAAGTCGTGTTTCTGCATCCGGTTCATAGCGGAACACACGAAAATAACGGACGACGCGACTAAAGTGAGTGCCGCCCACCTCCGATTGCTACGCGCATTAATTCGAACAATCAACATCCCATTAAACGTTAATAAAATTATTTCTAGAGGAACTGACATTTCGAACTTTTAAAACAAAGCGCGTGATAATACTGTATAATAACATTTTTTAAATATTAAACTTTACGAACGTATTGCTTTTTAAATATAAATTAATGAGAGCGTTGGCACTTTTTAACTCAAATGAATTGTTTAATTTTCGGCGAAAACTGTGATAGTGCGCGTAAATATAAGATTACTCATTAAAATATGAACAATTTAAAATACGAGTTGTGCTTTACGGTTTTTAAAAATTTCGTCGCCTCCCCTGAAATTCTGTCTCGACACCATAGGCACCGCTTAGGTCGACAACCATTGATGTAGTACGTTTTTGACAACATCGCGAATACTATTGTCACGTTTTTTCCTCGCGTACCGTGCACACGCATCCGGTGCATATACCCATTTGATTTTCATGCCGTTCGTCAAAAAAGTTTGAAAATCTAAAGTGTACACTGCGGGGCTGGACGTCGTATGTTAGATATAAAATAGAATTTGATGATAATGTTTATGATAAATGTTTATTTTTGCACGCGCTGATACTAACCGCAGTACGGCGTCGTATTATTGCAGCTGGTTACAGTTTTGAAAATCACTTTTGACAACACACTCATACACATTCGGCAATACACTTTACTAAAGTGGCGAATCATGAGGTTCACATAAGGTGATGCTCAAATAATTTACAAGATACCTATGTAAAATGTTAAATTTATTAATGGTACATGCGCACAGTTGCGTATTTAGAAACTTATTTTGGGAGGACGTCATACCTAATAGTGAAATAATTTTATGAATTAGTATAAAATTTTCTTTATCAACTTATTGTTTAATTACTAAATAATAATAATTAATAATAATTAATAACTAAATTAAAAGTATGATCGTATTAATCGTATTTTATATTACTTTATGTTGCGCATTAATGAATAGTGCATACTGATAACTGACAAGACTTGACTGTCACGGACTAATATATTGGTATTCTTATCGACCGATAATTTCCCCACATCATATATGGTGTATTATTTATATACCATGTGTGTGTGAGTGCCGTGCGATCGATTGTTATTATTATTATCCGATAAAAATTTAATTATTAGCAATATTAATATTTTTTTATATATATATTTTTTTTTCATTATATTTTAATATTTTCATGAATAAACAAACTAAACTTATTATATGACTGATGTGTTTAAAATTTGACGTTTTCAAATATTTTTTTGTGGGGGGAAACCCCCAGTACCTCCCCACCCATAAATATGCCACTGCATGCGCATATTATGCACTTATCAACATTTAATTTCCTTAAGCTATCTAAGCTCTTCGTCACGTCAGAATAAAAGTAAATTAGAAAAAAATAGCATATTATGTATGAAACAACAACAAAAATCTTGTTTCCACGATGGATGCATTACGCAGTACGATAACAATAAATCTAATGCACACATTAATAGTGATCCAAACGGGTCTGCGCATGTAACTAATTTTTGTTCAGCCGCTCGGAGCGTAAAGAACATGTGCTCAACTAATTATCAATTTCTAATAGACACACTTCTCAACAAACTTATTTAATTTTTTTTTTTTTTTAATATATATTTTATCAAAAACTTACGATGAAAAAGCCCATAATAAAAACCAGACAAAAAAAAAAAAATACAAGTAGTACTTGGTAATTTGTAGGTTCCGGTCCATTTTTACATTGAGATTTTAAATATTTATCCAGGTCACATTAGGTAAAATGACCAACGTTTACCGTGCTCAAATTTTTTCTCAACGTCTCTATTGCAGGTTCTGAGTCCATATCTTCGACAAGATAATAGATATAAAACACCAACTTTTCAATAAAAACCGATTTCGCATTATTCAAAAACAAATTATTTATATATATATAAATGTACATAAAAAAAAAAAAAAAAAAAATGGGCGGACTATTCAGTTTTATTAAAAAGCTGTTGTTTCGTCCGTGTTATTCTATTGAAAATATTTAGAAAAAAAAAAATAATGAACCAAGAACCTACACCTAGGAGAATTTAAAAACGATGGGAGCGCACGAGTAAGCGTTGGTAATTTTGCCTAGTCCGACCTGGACAATTTTTTGAAATCTCCCTGCGAGAATGGATTCGAAACCTCAAAATAACTACCAGTCAGTGGCGGATCTAAGGAGGGGGGGATTAAACCTCCCACAAAATCAGGAAAATATATATTAAAAATCAATAATTTTATGAATTCGGAAAAAGATTTTTTTTTTTAAGTATGAGGGAAAGTACTCGTATATAATTTGTATTTTTATTCATACAAGAAAACAATAGTCTTCGATTTAAATTAATGTATTTTACCACTATCTTAATTCATTATCAATCAATGACTGCAATGTTATAAAAAATATCCCAAGGAAAAACATTTTTCAACCCCCCTAAAAAAAAAAAAAAAAATCCTAGATCCACCACTGCTACCAATCATGCCACGCACACGCACGTAAGAAAGACGGGTACGACCGCTTACTCACTCGCTCGTACGATCTTTTCGGCCCTGTACTGCCCACCCGCCGCCGAACGTAATATTATGTAGAATCGACATGCGTGTTTTTGAACGCTCCATGCCCAAACAATAACTACGCTAAGCCTTGTGTTATGTACAGCGCTCGACGGGGCACACAAGGGTAGAAATCCCCTTCTAACGTTACTTACACGTATGTTTATGCACCGAACTGTGTACATTTCGCGCGTACGTAACTCTATACGTGTACACGTACAGATTGTTAAATCCGACAAACTTTGTTCCGTCGGTAATTAATCATTCAATTCGCGAATTCGCACCGTAAAGATATTACATCATTATTACCGGGTACCGTTATCGTTGTATTTTGTTGTTATTATTACTATTTTTATAATCGCGTATTCTTCACGAGACTCCCGTGCTATTCGTCGTAATAATAACAAATGATTAACCGCTTGCGTTTTCAGGTGAAAGAAGATTGGAAGTACGTCGCTATGGTCTTAGACAGACTTTTCCTGTGGATATTCACCTTGGCCGTGTTCGCAGGCACCGCGGGTATTATCCTACAAGCTCCCACGCTCTACGACGATCGGATACCGATTGACAAAAAGTTCAGCGAATATCAGACGTGAGTGTACAATGTTAACAAAATTATATCCTGTACCACCATCACATGGATTTCTGGTGATCCTATAACGTGAACTTTAGAAAGCGAATTTGTGTTAGTCAACGCGTATTAATATTACGCACGCACATTTTTGTCTTCTTCGAATTTCATGTGATTGCGATAATAGTTATTAAGTTTTTCGTAAATAGCGTGACGCGATTTAAATGAAACGCTAGTGCCTTTAATGTAAATTTGAACGCAGTTCGTAGTCCAAGTCATTTAAATAATTAAAAATTATAAACATTTAGAGTTCGATTATATTTGAATGGGAAAAACCGTTTTCATCAAAGTAATCAGTGATTACTATATTTATTAATACGATTTGTATTTGAACCGTTATTAAATATAACTTGAAATTGAACTGTTTTGAATATTTTAATTTTCATCGTACATCCGTTAGTTGAATGGATATAAAAACGTTAGACTTTTTTTGATTTTCTGGTATATTGCCCTGCTTTTAACCGATTCCAAGTTTTGATGCGTGACTCGCAAAACTATTTCACTACATATATAAAAACGAATTTTTTTATATATCTAACACACTCGGATCATTGCTGTGCTTAAGTTTTAAATTACTGTGCGTCAACCAAAATACCACTGCTAAAGCGTCAGAAAACTAATAAAACCACCAGCATCCCCCCCCCCACACATTAAAACTAATCTATTTAGAAAGATCCAATATTTTACGAAATCATTACTGGATTTTTCGCGAACTCGAAATCTAATGGTTTCGATAGGACATTTGTCAATCTGCTGTGTTAACTTAATAATATAATAATATGTGACAAATAAATTTGATTAGATTGTTTGAAAATATTTAATTACAGAGCGCCTAGCATAAGGAAGAAATTCAAGATAGGTCGCTTTTGAAATAAAGTATTTGACAGTACGATATACATCATATTATTAAATATTGTACTTCTTGGTTTTTCCAAAGTAGATTTTCATAACACTACACTACACACACACACACACACACACAAACACACACCGTTCACTCCTTTCAACAACGTCATAACTCAAAAATCGGCCACATACTTTTTAAACTTCAAATGTTTATACATTATTCTTCATTAAACAGAGAAAAAAATCTAAGTTTTATCTTTAAAGGATGATATTTAGTATTTATGTCATGCGATTTTACTCTACTTTCTAACTTTGAAGTCAGTGTCCTTAAAATTCGAGCATTTTGAGGTATGACGTTGTCGAAAAGAGTGAGCGACATATAGCTAACTCGATTTCACCGTCTAATTTTTTTTTTTTCAATATTTTTCAATTATTATTTAGTTCACGTTAATTCTTGTACACTGTATTACAATTGATTACTCATGCAATACTTTTATAATTTTTAAAATTTTATTTGTTTTTCAAACACATCATTATTATCATTATTTTATATACTTAAGTATAAGTATATATATATATATATATATATATATACATCGCACAATGTTCTTAATATAAATAATTTAAACATATTGCTTGTATATTATTTTATGTATACGCAGACTCAATTATTTCGAAATCATTTAAATTTATGAAACAATAATGTAATATCAAGGTTAGGTGGTTAAAAATAATAAAAAGTTAAATTTTTTTTAACCAAATCAAATGGTGAGCTAATTTTTTTTTTTTAATTTACTAAATGAGTTAGCTAAATGTATCTAGCTACTAATCCGTTAATTAATTTTATGATAACATATCTATTCATTTTTTTCTAATTTAAATTTCAGTTATTATAAAAGAAATACATTTTTTTTCTATGGAAGCGGCGTTATGTCTACCGACCCGTTTGTAGTGCATAACTATATTTTCCATTAACATATGAAACGCTATTCCATCAACGTGTTATAAAATAATAATTATTTTTTTATTACATTCGGGATGATGATCTATTAAGCGTAATGAAATATAAAATTTACGACGTATGTATCGTTGTGGGTACAACGCGGAAAAAACCTGAACAACTACGTAGTAAAACGATTTCGAAACTTATTTTTTAAACTCTAAATAAAATAATTGTCACGTGTTTCACTGTTTATTGCGTAGGTATAATAATACATAACGTACGTTCGTACGTAATATATTATTATACCTACGCTATTATACCGGATTTGGTTGAACTGCGTCTTAGATTTTTCATGAATCGAAAGAAAAGTTTGATCGTAGAAGATGTCATTGACTCTGAAATCAGATTTAACAGCAATATTACGTTTCAAAAATATAATGGGTTTAAAAATGAAAAAAGTGATTTGATCGAATGTAAATAAAAATAAAATCCGGATTTGAAAACAAAATAATCGTATCGTTCATATAAAATGCAACCAGGTTCACATGATTACATTAAATCCGTTTGAAGATAATCCGCTTATAGGTACCTTGATATCGATGTACGATTCGAAATATTCGACTTACATTTTTGGGCGATCGGTCATATTGAACACAAGACCTCCATCGACGTATCTCAACAAAAAAAAAAAAAAGGTGTAGGTACTTCGCGTAAAATCGATTGCAAAACAAGTGCATATTTCGAGTTTTTTCGAAGCTTTTGATTCAAAGCCCTACAAAATTACTATCGAATTCGATCACTATCTCACTTCCCTCGCTGTTCAAAAGTATCTCTCAAGCAACGGATCATGCGATATAATAACCATAAGCATGCTCAAAGCAAGTGTATTATCTACACGTTGAATTCGCAACTGAAAACGTCTAATGAAAGACTACCGGAGCTGATAATCATAACATCACCACGTTGCGAAAAAATTTGAAAATAAAATATTCCGTTGCGAAATCTATTTGACTATTCGACGAAGCGATATTGACAAGTATTCTCCAATAAGGTTCTCATGTGACATTTCACGAAAACTATCGTCGCTCGTGTACTACTAAAACAATATAAAAACACAAACGTGACGGTGAACCTGATAAGACCATCGTTGTTTTTCCGACACCTTCCGGCGATCCGTGTCCAAAAAGTAACAATTTCCTTGTTGCAATTCGTCACATTTATCGTTTTACGACTTTTTTTTTTTTTCTGAGCGAATACTGATGTCATTGCGCTCAAAAATCGTAGTACACTGTATTACCATACAATGCGCTTAAAGAGTACTTTTGTTCGACCATATTGGTCAAATGGTTAATAATCGCACGTATTTTTGACTTGATAGATCAATACTAACGTGTACGCACTATATATTATTGTTGTTCGTAGATGATTGTGCCAGGGCTCGGATTCTATAACGTTTGCTGGTTGTTATGGAATACTGATAAATATAGCAGAGTAAGCTATACATTTGATTTATGTAAATATTTAATTTAATATTTTTTTACTAGGATTTTAAATTTTAAATTTTATCTTGCATACATTTAGAATTTTAGTTTTATAATGCTATTTTTTGTTTATAATTTGCATTCAAGTTGATTTATTTTGCGTTTTTCATACATCTAAATAGTTTAATTAAATGTATTAAAAATTATTTTGTGACTATAAAAAAATATCATCATGTTTTATATATTTTATGTATTATGTACATGTATATAAAAATGTAATAATTCATAAATAATTATTTAAATTTATTATTTTTTTTTTATTTTTTATTAATGATAACATGAGAAAACAATTTTAAACATTTTCAAATAAATTATTTCTTTTTGTAGTTTTTTTTTTCATGTTTTCAATGCTTATTTTAGGATTTTTTAGGTCACAGTATAGCGCATATATCATTACTTTTTAGTGCTATAAAATCCGAACCCTGGTGATTAAACTGTTCTTATTGTTTCACCGCAACACACATCCCTGCATGTGTGCAATAGATGTTGTCTACGGGATTTATAATATACGCACGGTTATGTGTTGTTACAGGTACACGTCATACAGTCTGTCACAACGTGAAGCCACCTAAACACCCAACGACGTCATTGTTGTTGCAGTTGCTGTTGCAGCGGTTGTATAATAATAATAATATTAATAATAATTATAATAATTTGATGATGTTAACCAAAATATTGTTTTGTATGGTTAAATTGTATTGTGTATATTAAGTTTTGTTAAACTATTATAGCTACTGATGATAACGATTTCAAACGATGCCCAGTAACAGAGTAAATCACAAAACAACAACGATAATAATTATAATAATAATATCAATAATGATTTTCCGACGTTGGTCGTATATGTATATTATATAAGTTATCATTTACGCGTGTCCATCGTCGCCCTGTACAACAGTTATTAAACATGTTATAAAACATAATGCGCATAAAGTCAACAAATATAATACGTGCGCCGCGAAACGATGGGAATTACTATCGATGGCGTTGTAGATGATACATTATGTCTATGTATACAGGGTGTTTCGCTAACTCTTACCATTTCTAAAGGGATAATGGAAAAGTTACGTGAAATAAAATTACTCAATTAGTGGATTCTCGCGGGACGAGTACGCCGTACGAGAAATGCATGCGTGTTTTCAAATTTTAATAGAATAAACCTACCGCGCACGTAAAACATTACAATTTCGTTGATAACGGACGCGTTGTACGTAACCCACTAGCGATACATTGTTTCGTACGCGGTTTTTGTTTTTATTATTATTATAATTATTATAATTCTAACTGTTGTTATAATATTATTTAATATTATAGTTATATATATATACACTGTTGTCATTTTGTACGTACATGGTATGTAAATGCAAGAGGAATTATCATTTTTTTTTTTTATTTTTTTTTTAAATAGATCATGCGTAGAGTGCCTTAAAAATAATAATATTTTCTGTAGCCCATCTCGTGTTAGTAATAAATGCATAGTTTATTTATTCTAAACGTGTATAATGCATCGTTTTATTTTTTCACGTTAGATTCGAAATCGTTTGCGTTTTGTGTACACGATGTTTATTACCGGAGGAGAAGGGGGAGGGATAAATAACCGAACGTTATAGTGTACAGAAAAACTGCCAAAATACATTATAAAACGGACTGTACACGTGACGTGACCCTCTACATTGTTGCGTTCGTTGATGCGACACTATCAACAATAGTTATAATTTTGTTAAATAGATAATTTGTGTATGCCTAATAATATGTCGATCGTTTGTCCGTGTCGTTAAGTATAAAAATAATAAAAAATGTAACTAATGTTTACGAATTATTCTGTATTCATGGTTCGCAAAGGTTATTCGAGAATTTTTTTCGTTTTATTTTTCTCGTTTATACCCCTATATTTCGTTCGATTCATAAGAGCCGAACGTTTTTTACTTTTTTTAACGCACCCCGTAAACGCAACACGGTGAAATTGAATTTACCCTTATATTATTAACGATTGTAATGATATGCTCTCTCCAAAGTCAAATATCAAATCGCAGTATTACAAGTAATGATCCGATTATAGTATTACGTCATAATGCATGCTATTCGTCTAAAGTTGTATTATAAATTATTGAAACATCATCAAACATCGTTCGATTCGTTATTATTTTGTTCATTTTTGATCGCTCAACAAAACGAAACAATATTCATATATATAATGTGTATAGTTTAAAATTAAAATAAAGCTTAAAAATCATTCGAATGAATTACGTACGCGCCACTCAAACATGGTTCGTAATTATTTATACTTTCAATTGAAAGCTTAGTGTACTCGAAAACACACACACGTAGTAAGATTTTGTAAAATACGATCCGTTAAGCACAGTGTCGTAAATGTTACGTGAACACGACATTTTTATATGAATCAGCTGCGATTGAAATAACGGGAACCAAATTTGGAATTCCACATATAAATATATCTAAAAACCGGTGGAAAACGAAACACACTTATTATAAAACTATAATATAAAATTGTTATTGCTCAATGGCTATTTATTTACGGCGTACTTTGTTTATTGGTTTTTTATTTTTTCTAAATTCTTATTACTACTTACAATACGAACAACGTCCACGGATATAATACTCTTTAAAAGGCATAGCAATTAATATTATTGACGGTTCGATACCGCAAACCGTTGTGCCGGTCACGGCGGTTGTGTTTAAGTTGTAGTAGATTTAAAGCGTATAAGCCTTTCAATAATAATAAGTGAAACTGTATAGTTACATAGAACTATATAGCATAATGTAATATGATAATATTGTATAATATTGTAATGTGTTTAGGAGTCGCATGAATGACACTCGTTGTTTTTCTCACTCGTGTGCTTAATAATAAATATGAAAGTATGCATACTCGTATTTATATTTTATACAACATAAGATGCAATTATTATAACGGTTTGCGAACAAAAGTATAAAGTTTTCGATGTAATTATTATGTTATTATGTTGTGGTGTAGGAAAAGTCAAATAATAATATTGCGTAAGACATAATAATATTAATGTTAATTTTTTTTTCCGATTACAATAGACTGTGATGTGTACAATTTTGTTAGACTTATTTGTTTACGACTGTTTATTATTGTAATACATTCGTATAATCTAGAAGGAATAAAAAAATAAAAACGACAAAAAAACCGTATTACATATAGACACATAAACACGTATTTGTATTGTCTCTCGTGTATTATTGTGCATTTATTTTAATCCCCATATTTATTCCCCTGCATGTTACGATATTTAAGACAACGAGTCGAGGAAGAAATTCAAAAATAAAAATAAAACAAATCCAATTGTCAAAGGTAAGACAAAAATCTTCAGAAAAAAAGACTCTTTAACCCTTAACTTGACGAATATGTCTTTTAAGATAAACATTACAAATATAACGATTTCAGTGAAAATATAAAATAATTATAGACGGTTTTTATCCTCTATATTATTTGAAGTTATCATTATCATAATTGTTAACTTCATACAACTTTCCGCAACCTAAAACATCTGTTATGCTATAGATGAATATAGTTGTGATATCAGCCTTTATATTATTTTATTTTTTTGACTAATACTTAATGCACCAAGTCAAGAGTTAAAATTTTAAAGATGTTAGCTTATTACTTAAATAATTATTACTTAAATTATTTTTAAATAATTTATTTTAGATCAAACCAAAAACTATATACAACTTCAACTCGAAAATAAGTTGAATAACTAATTAATGTATTTTCAGTCAACTTACCAGGACGAAAATAGTTTTAGTGAGGCCCAACATCCTTACTCAATTCCAATATATGTTGTTATCTATTGGGCCAGATATAGATTAGTAGTAAAACATCAACCTCAAGTCAGTCCCTAACCTCAAATGTATTTTTTGAGTAATCATTTTATGATAAAAAATTCTAAATAATATTTTAATAGTATATAAAAAAAAATTAATAATTTTTAATTTATAAGTAAAATAATTGTTTTTTTCTTTAAATGGCTGATTATATAATTAAATTACAAGTTTTTTAGAAAAATACTGGAGAAATCAATGAGAAATTTTTTGAAAATCTAAAGGAGGCTTTTAATAAAAAAAAAAAAAGGTGAGAAACATTGATTAAGAATTTTTATGATTTTTTTCATTCGTGCCAAGTTTAGAGTGAAAAAAAAACAGTCATAATACGAGTATATCTGCAACGTAAACAGGTTATAGAAGTGAAACTTCCTCGACAACAGTCGTGATGATATCAAACTATTAATGTACAATCTACATTTACTGTCGTAGAGGTTTCATTTTTATTATTTGTCTTTGCAGAGAATTATTTAGTAATCAAAATGAGAAGATCTATAAAGGGAGGGAAACAGGGCCGGATTTAGACTTTCGGATGCCCTGGGTAAATCGATTTTTCGAAGCCCCTAGCTGTAAGAAACATTATCCATGTAGTAAAGGAAAAATTAAAAATTTGCATACTTGCCCGTTAAAATTATCTGCCTATACTTTTTTATTTCAAGTTTAAAATATCACTGTTCATGCTTCACAAATCACATATTTCTGTATGTATAATAATATCACAGTTTAATCAAATGTAATATACAGTAAATTCTAAATAGTTAGTAATAGTAAGTAATAAAAAAATAAATAAATTTTTATAAATATGGTAATTTTAGAAGTAATGAGTCTGACTTAAAAAAATTAGATGAACATTTGGTTTTCTTAATGTCACGCGCATTCGTGTGTACAGGTATAAAATAAAGGTACATAACGTAGGCCGCGCGCCGACGTCAGCCTACGTTACTATCAGTGTCTGCGTTTGCTGTCTCCTACAAAATGACGCGCATACGAGTATTAGTATAAAACGTGACGAATTTTCGCTGCATTCCTGTGTGCCGCGACCTTGAAAATTTACTCCCAGCGCGCGTATAGAAATTTCACTTCAAAAATAATACATGCTTTTCAAAAGCATTTTATTCTCATGGCGCACACTACAGAAAACTGGGTGTCATAACGTACGCGAGTAAAGAGAAATGTTAGAAACGAGAGAAAGAAAGAAGAGAAAAAAAAACTCTTTGAAGAACAATCTCCAGTCCAAGGTATATTATTGTGATACGGTTAACAAATCGCTTTCATTATTACGACAACTGCAGTGTTTTTGACAGAAAATCAAGCTAATCTTTCGGCTTTGTGAATAGGACTTTATATTATTTTAGATTGTTCCGTGGCACAGCGGCAAACCGATTGGTGTTTAAACGTTATTCCGTGTGCACTGCGCTCAAATATACATGCAAGTAATCCGAGAATACCGCAAAACTTTTGGAAAACATTATTGCCACCGGTGCGGTTATTAATAACAACGTTTTTTAAAAACTATATTTTCCTGTACATATACTATACGAGATAATTTATTTTGCACTTGATTACTTTATTAATTTGAATATTATAAAAACATTTTATTACTTTATTAACGTGAGCTGAATTTATTTTTAATATATTTTCTTTTTATTTAATATTTAGTTTTAATATAATAGAATTGCTTCTTGAAAAAAAATGCATAAGAATTCAGCGGTTTTGATGATAAACAGCAATAATTGTTATGGTAATAAAAATTACGCCAAATTTTTTATTACAATGGAATTTTGAAGTTTTCTACACAAAAATATACTTTCAATCAAAAACTCTGATATTAAAAAAAAAAAAAATCTATAAATAAATGTGCCTCTACCGCAGTGTGTACACACGTTTATGTAATACGTATTTAACGAGATGTAAATCACGATATGTTGGAGGAAGGAGGAATCGATTTCACGTGGATAACCCCATGAAAAACTAGTACTCGCGAGTGTAAAAAACTGAAAATATAGATTTATAAAATCAATTTATGAACCGCCTTCGTTTGACGTAAATTAGTGTTAGAATCACATCGACAGAAGGCACGTATTATATTATTAGTTTGTTTTTTTGCTCCAAACAAAAATTAAAGTCAATTTCGGGTCATCGTCGTTCGTTGGGGTTTCGTCGAAAAAATATATATTAGAATATCGGTATACTATATTAATACATTTACACTAAATTTCAGATAAGCTTTAGTATACTTTATAGTACCCAATAAACCCTTACTAAATCTATTCAGGCACCAAGGAAACATTCACTTTCTTAAAATAAATCGAATTGTACAAATTAATGAAATTTAAATATCATTTCGTATACCTGAATAATCTAAATACACCCCTTTAAATATTTGTAAGCAAATAACCATGTGGATTATTCTAAAACAATATAATAAAATAAAAAAATACATTTAAATTTTGTGTTCGATAAGGTCTGTTGAAGAAATATTTTTTTTAGTGCTTTTCGAATGATTTTTAGAAGCATGGGCATAGCTACTGATTTCAAACTTTCACGTCACTTGTATTGTTTCTTTTTGTTCTACATTCATATGCTTATTGTATCCGTTGTCGCAAATTGTAATGATGTCAAGTTTAAGACTGCGAGTTATAACGTCGATGGAATGATTTTGATCCGTTGATCGTTTTAGCTTCCTCTCAAGGTTTACCCATCCGTAAAATTAGTATAACGTACATGTTCGAATTTTCTCATCGTACGCGCGTCATTATTATTATTAGAATATTTATGAACAAACAACATCGGCACACGATATCATTGTAACTTATATTTGTATGTTTGGCTGTAGTAAATTCTAATTGACGTTGTCTGATAAAGTATCATGATAAGTACACTCCGTTATTTTTAACACACTAATTCGCATGACTGATCGTCATACCCTCAGCGTATTATTATTACGCCCATTTCGTTAGTTAATACCTGACACGTGCCGCGGGCGTCGTTTATATTGCATAAACAAACACCTCAACAATAGCAATGACAACGGGCTACAACTCGTTTGCGAAAAAATGCACAACTCGATTGCGTCAGGGGCGGATTCGGAGGGGGGCGAATGGGGCGATCTCTCCCCCTCCCCGTTCACCATAGCAGATTTTAGTTTCTGACGTAATTGCTTCAGAAGTAAATAGGGAAATCTTAAACCATTTTTTTTATCCTAAACTTATGCTGGTATTATGTTATCACTTGTATTTATTATTTGGTGATGTACTAATATCACAGTTATATACTATTATCAGTGGCGTAATTGTGGGGGGAAGGAGGGGAAGTGCCCCCTCTGACCATTTTTTTGAGAGATAAAGGTATAATTTTGCCCCCCCCCCCCAGATAATCCAACAGTACAAATAGCACTTTTTATTAATGAACTCTTATGGATATTATTTAACAATATTGGTACCTAGTACATGCTACAAATTACAATTTATGTTTATCTAAACCATAAAATGAGTAAAAAGACTTATGTAAAATCAAACAATTTGATATAGTGTATAAAATACATACAATAAAAATATGTTTTAACTGGCGAGGGGGAGGGGTGTCAGGGTTTTGATAATAATAAATATATTATATTGCCTCCCTTTGGTTTTTTCCCAGTTACGCCAATGACTATTATCATAATGTTAAATATTTGTAACCAAGTTATGTGTGTGTCGGTGTTTCCGAAACGTGATAACTGATAACGACCAACGTAAAAATCGTTCGGTACCTCCATAATCAACTTGTGCGAAAACGATATATCTATTTTCAGGTAAATGACTAGTTTCGTCGTGCGCAAACGAGTGGTCGATTTTCAGGTAAAAAATTTTGAAAGTGCGCAAACGAGTTGCAACGAAGACAACGCCGCGTCTAAGTAGATAATCGTATTAATGTAATGCGTCTGTTTGTGACTGCGCGATATCGCACTTATAGATACGTATACATCATTATCAACGAATAAAAATACTGAAAACACGTTCTTTTTTTTTTTACGATGACAAATTGTTTTTTTGGTGTTTTTTATACATCCACGACGTGCGTTTTGCGTGCACTGCTCATACATCGTAATTGCTGTAACGAATAAACAGTTTACGAACCAACAAACAGTTTTCCTGCGTAAAAAAATTGCTTAAAGTTGTATTGAATAATAATTAAATCGTCCAAGTTTTCTTCCTAACAAAATTATTTAATAGACATGTGGTGATGTAAACAACGCACCGCGAATCGTCGCAAGTTGTATACAATATTGTCAGTGGATAAGGGGAAATCCCATGTTCTAGAATATGCGATGATTATCCCACAGACATTTTTTTTAAAAAAATAAAGCTAAGAAAACAGGAACATTTTAAATTCAATTTTTTATAAATAATATATAAATTTATTTACTTACATAAAAATCAATATTTTTCATTGTTCAACGATAGAAGTGTATGAAAAACTTCGTAAAATAACTTTACTCAGATTATCAAGTAGATTGCATTCAGTAATCGACTGGTTTTCAAAAACTTTTAACAGTCTGTAATTTTTACAAACGTTTGTTAACGTAACTTTTGTGTGCACATAATGATGACTCCTTATATTTTTATTAATAATAATATGACATTTATTTATGTGAAAAAAAGTAATTGATGTAAAACGAAAAAAGTTATTAAAATCTTGAATTTTTTTTTTTTATTATACCGACATATGTGTAATTTATTAAGTTAATTTAAAATATATATATATAATATTTTAATACTTAATTCAAATCCTTAACTAACTATTTTAGGTTGCCTGAAAAAAAAGTATGATTTTAGCGAAAAAAGGAATTAACCAATTTACTAATTGGCAGAAAAGAGAAAGGTACATTTTTACGTAAACCGGCCGGTATCATAATAATATGCTTAATAGTAGTATTATTAAAGTACAATTTCTATGCTAAAGAAATTAATTTATTCGACTTCAAAATGTGTTTATTTTAATCCTTTTCGTGTACGAGTATTATGATATCATTCACATCAATGTTTCATTTTATAGTGTTTTCTCTTTATATTTTATTTCCAATATTTTATTTTTAGTATAATACAGGGTTTAAATCAAAGTAATAAATATTTTTTACTATTATGAGACATTTAAACGTTATAAGCAATTGAGCGTTAAACGTTATAAAAATTTAAACAATAAAAAAATTTTCCGTTTACTTTTATTGACAATCAAAACATTATGAACAATTTAGTGTTCTACATTTAGCGTTTTGCGTTATTTAAATTAGCATAAGATTTGAAAAGTTTTCAAATGTAGTATTTAGCAATCAATATTATGTAAAATAACATTACATAATTTAAATATTATATAATATATATATATATATATATATATATATATATATATATATATATATACAGGGCCGTATTTACGCCTAGGCCCGTGAGGCCCGGGCCTAGGGCGGCAAATTTTTTGGGGCGGCAAATTTTGTAAGAAATAAAAAAAGAATCATATGAATGCATGAAATATTTATATGATTTTTTTTTAGATATCTGTATGTAAAATATACGGGCGCATGAAACTGAAATGTCACTAACCCGAAATCAATTTTCTCGTAATGTGAGCTATAAAGATAAGATACCTACCTAGGTATATAATAATATAAGTTGTTCCTAAAAGTAATTACGATAAAAATATAATATATATAGAAATTGGCTAAAGATATTGTGTATCCACATCGCACACGACCACAATTCATTTCAGTTTATTGTTCGTCATTGTCGGGAGTGCATATTACAACATAATATATTTAATAAATAATAATTAATAATTTACAGTATTTAGCATTTTTTCACTATGAGTGACGGTCGTAAACGTTTTAGTGGTTCAGAGTATAAAAAGCGAGCCAAAGATAAAGAATATAAAGAGAGTAAAGTTCTAAATAAAATACCTAAACTAAGTACTTTCTTTAAACCTGCTACACCGTCTTCTTTGAATGCACCTGATAATGGTCAACAACATCAACATGATTTAGAAGAGATTGAAACGAGTAAGTGCGAATCGGATTTGGTCATTAATAATTTAACAACTTCTACTTTAAATATGGATCCGGCTACATTTTATATTGATTATAATGATCCGGCTAAATGGATTATTAATGATGTAACTCGCGATTATGTGGCAAAACACGGAATAAATCAAAATTTAAATGATGATTTTACATGTTCTAAACGTGAGTATCCTGACAAAAATAGATTTTTAAATAAATCATTATTTGTTAGAACACGTATAAATGGTGAAGTACAGTCACGACCATGGTTAGTGTTTTCGAAATCTACTGGTACAGTGTTTTGTGCACCATGTCGACTCTTTGGAAGTGCACATTTATCAACATTAGTAACTATTGGTTTTAATGATTGGAAAAATGCTGTACGAAAATTAAACGATCACGAAAATTCTATTCCTCATAAAACTTCAACAGTTGCATTAATCGAAAGGGGGAAAACTGCAGGTAAAATAAACCAAGAAATTGTTTTGCAATTAGAACAAGAAACCAATTATTGGCGAAATATTTTAAAAAGAATAGTTGCTACTGTACGTTCTTTAGTAATTCGAGGGTTACCATTGAGAGGCAGTGAAGAAAAATTTGGGTCGTATCATAGCGGTAATTTCATTATGACATTAGAGCTTTTAGCAGAATTTGATCCCTTTCTATCAGAGCATATTCGCCATTACGGTAAAATCGGTAGTGGTAATACATCGTATCTATCTTCACAGACATACGGAGAGTTTATACAAATTATGGCAGAAAAAATTACAAAACAAATAGTTGAAGAAGTCAAAGTTTCAAAGTATTTTTCGATAAGCGTTGATTCGACGCCCGACGTATCCCATGTTGATCAGTTGTCTTTTATCATAAGATACATTTCAAAAGATGGTACTCCTATAGAACGATTTTTAAAGTTTATTGCCAATACTGGGCATAAATCTGAACAACTTGCTGATGCAGTTTTTGATACACTTAATCAATATAATTTGGATATTAAAAATTGCCGCGGGCAGTCATACGATAATGCCAGTAACATGGCTGGTAAATACACTGGCCTTCAAGCCAGAATTAAAGAAGTTATTCCGTTGGCCATTTATGTCCCTTGCTCAGCACATTCCCTAAATCTTGTGGGGATATCTGCCGTGGATTGCTGTGAAAAATCGACAACATATTTTAGATATCTACAAGAATTATATAACTTTTTCACAGCATCTACCCATCGTTGGGAAATTTTACTATTTTATTTAAAAAAGTCTAAGTGTGTAAAAAGTTTGTCTCAAACCCGATGGTCAGCAAGATACGAAGCGGGTAAATCTTTATGTACTTCTTGGAGTGAAATTAAAAACGCTTTACAGGCTATTATTGACGATGCCAATGAAAAACCTGTAACAAAATTTGACGCTTCAGTTCTTTTGAAACCTTTTAATACTATAGAAATGTGCTTTATGACTGTTTTTTGGAATGAAGTATTAGAAAGGTTTCATATAGTTAATAAAAAACTTCAATCAGTTAATATTGAGTTAGGAATGATTGTTGAATTATATGGATCCTTAGAGCAGTACATATCTAGAATTAGAAATAATTTTGAAGAATATGAAGGAAAAGCTATACAAATATGCGGTGAAATGCAGTACAAAAAAGACAAGCGGAGAACTGTTAAGAGAAACGTCAATTCGACGAAACAATGAATGAAGTGATCACAGAAACAGGCAAGGAAGATTTCAGAATAAATGTATTCTTCGTTATATTGGATAAATTGAATGCTGAACTCGTAAGGCGAGGCAGTTCATATAAAAATTTATGTGTCAAGTTTGATTTTCTTACAAATATTTGTAGTTTTGACGAGGAAATAATTTCTGAAAAAACTAGGGCACTAATAGAACAATATCCTAATGATATTGAAGAATCATTTACAAATGAATGTCTTCATTTGCGTGATCATCTTTTTTTTAAATCTGATAAAAAAAGAAACGCCCAAGAACTTTGTAAGATGTTGTATACAAATGATTTAATAGATATTTATCCGAACGTCACAACAGCGTTACGTATGTATTTGTGCACGTTTGCAACAAATTGTACAGCAGAGCGGTCGTTTTCAGCATTGAAAAGAGTAAAATCGCATCTTCGTTCAACTTTGGAGTCAGATAGATTAAACGCGACATCAATACTACACATAGAATCTGAGATGCTTCGAAGTATAAATTATGATGATATAATCGACGATTTCGCGTCTAAAAAAGTTCGTCGTAAAATGTTATAGATAACATAGGTTATGATTAGGTATAAGTTTAACTATTAAGTATTACTAGGTATAAGATTAAAGATTATTAAGATTATTTTAAGATTAAGATTCAAAATGTATACTGATAATGCCTAATTAGGATTTATAATTATTATTTGTTTTGTTTATAATGACTATTGACCTAATTTCTTTAAAATGAAATAAATTTATTTGTAATAATTACAATTTTTTTTTCTTGGGGTAGAGGCGGCATATTTAAAAGGGCCTAGGGCGGCACTTGTTCTAAATCCGGCCCTGTATATATATATACATTACACCTTTGACCAGTGATGTATCGGTAAATATATTTGTGGGTATACGTACCAAAAAAATTTGGAAATTAATCCTAAAATAAATTTTCTCGCTTCGCTCGTCAATTGTTTTCTTTCGATACGTTCGAAAACATTTAATTAATCCTTTTTAATTACATGTTTATAACTTCTATTAAGACTATAAATTATAACACAAGATATACATTTGCAGTGCGTTACAAATTGCATGATGCAGATTTAAGAACCATGGACTGAATGTCCACATTCCATACTATTTTATTCAATGTTATTCACTACATTTCACAAAATACATTGAACACAGCGTACACTGTAATATTCAACAAATAAATATTTCAATCAATTTCATGGTTCATGACAATTTTTTCCAATGAACTATTAAATTAACTATTATATTAAATTATTATTTTAGTTTTTTTTATTTTCGAATTATTTTAGAAGCGTATACCCGTAAAATAATGATTTACATTAGATGTTCGCCGAAAATTTGCTGATGGATATACGCCGTATACCCATGCGTATACGTACCAATACACCCTTGCCTTTAACGATATTTTCTTTTTGTAATTCTCATAACTTATAAATAAAGCAATCATAGTTGTTGTACAACAATAAAATGCACATACCATGTGTAAAATATGTACGTATTGTCAATTCATAACTTATGTATGGTGTATTACTAATGTTTTATCAGTGTTCACCGAAATTATTTTTGATGAGGCAGACCATACGGGTTCCGCGCCGACAACATCCGACGTATAATTTCAGAGGGTGGCTACTAGTTAGTTGCGTCCCGAGGCAAAAATTTCTTCCCAATTGCTGCCCAAGTTATTTTGGGGTATGTACGAATTGCGGTCCAAGTTTTTTTTTGGGTTATATACGAATTGCGGCCTGAAATTTGAAATTAAATTCATTTAATTATGTAAATTTAAATTTAAAAAACTTCATTTTTCTTCACATTTATTAAATACTGCAGGTAGGTTAAAAATGAAGTTTTGTTTTTATTTAAACATTTTGACACTGGTATAACCATATATGATATTTTTTAAGATTAAAAAGTTTTTTTGACATTGAAATCTGATATAAAAACGTTTTGGTACCCTGGTATAGTATCACTGGATGTGATTGTATACGGTGTTTGTACTTGTACTCCGGTATGACTGTACGTTTCAGCGTGTGTTTTATTATAACGGCACTGTAGTTGTAAATCGTGCAACCATAATAATTTTGCCTACGGTGAAGCTTTCGGCTACCGCTGCGGTAACTAGTAATAATTATGTCATTATGACCTTGTATAAGGTGTGCGAAAAAAAAATTCACCGGTAAACGCCACGCACCCGGTCGCACAAACAAAGGTTCGCACACATACACCACTCACTCGTTCATGTGTTTATTTACATATTTAAATACATGTCACACGTTATTTACACAGCCGGTGTATAAAAAATGTGTGCTCACTACTTATACAGTAAAGAGACCGCGGCCGCGGCGTTTTAACTCGTGTGTGTGTACAGGATGTTGCACGAGGATTTACGAATAATCGCCAAGATTACTCCACCGGAGTGCAATGATATCACGCGTTTGACATGTTAGCAGTGTTTTACCGTAATTAATACATGTCAATCATTACGGGCAGGCGTATTGCAATTATATATTATATCTATCATTGTAACACACCCTGTATATGTACATGCGCGTGCGGAGATAACCCAAAAGGCTCTCCCCACCTCACGTGTCACACGGCAGTGACTGAAACCTATGCGGGGAAAAAAAAACAATAATAACGGGTAAAAATAAAAAAATAAAATAATAATAACACGTATTGACGACGACAACGACACGCATATGCGCGTACATGGCATCTCGCAGACACGATCCCAACAACGCGTAAGTACGACTGGTCACATCGCATTTTTATACCGTTACCAATGCGGTTAGGTGTTTCACGTGGAATTTTAATAAGTAGTTTTTTATTCATCATTTTACCTTTCCTCCGCGTTTGGTCTTCCCTTTCCGGTTTTCAGTATTTTCCCTTCTCCTATCCGGTTTATCGTCTACTGCAGAAAAAAACTGTTTTCTTTCGCATAGAAAATAATTACACCGTATTCGAAACCCTACCAACCCTGCGTGGTCCCTAACAGTGCAATTGCATACGGTATCGCTGTACAATTGTCATACTATTGTTGTTGCCGGCTGTTTCCGTTGAAACAACAGCGAAACGCTGAGAATGTCCACGCTGCAAGCCCGGCACCGGGGCCATAACATACCGGACGGAGTGACCACGTTCAACGAGATCGAATACGACCGCGAGGGCGGCGTGTTCCTCAACAGGACCAAGCTTATCCTGCTCATTATCATCGTGTTCCTGTTGACCGCGTTCTCCGCGTTTATCGGAAGGTACACGGCCGAACGGCAGTTCAGACAGGTAACGCAACACAGCACACTGTACTATTGTACAATATTAATTATTTTATACTGACGGGTGAAACCCGTGAGCCCGAGTGAAGTCGACGAGCTACGCCGAAACCGGACTTTTTTATCAACTCGAGCACAATAATAACAATAATACTTTGTACGCGCGTAACTCGTACGAAACTTGCCGGACGTAGTAATATAAATACTAAAAAAAAACTATATTTTTAAAAGTGCACATTGTTCTCACTGCGATGTTTATCGCATACAGTACTCGTATAAATATCGTTTTCATGTTCTATAATGCGAGATGATCGGGTGATGATGTCGATGGAGATGCGAACTACAGTTTTGATAGCATTTGGGATGGAATAAAATACGATTTAATGGGGTGAAAAGTGACGTGAAATATACGTCATTTATATTACATCTGTAATTGACTGCGTTAATCACAATATTCCAATAATGCTGTATACAAACGATATGAACCATATCTGTCTTCGCTCACGACTGAAAACAAGAGATTAACCTAACCTCGATTTTCTTCTGTTTCCTGCCGTTTCCTCACCAAAATACGATTACAATCGAGCTTGCCGCTTTTTGCCACGCGTGTCGAAGCGATAGTATTATTTAATTACAACGTGTCGGTTCGATAATAACAACTGTCGAACAAGTACCTTTGCACATAAATATCTAGGCCGATAGAGTTGTAAATCTACTGCAGCAGTTGTGCAGTAATTGTCTAGTTGTATCGACAGTTGTTCGACTGTACGTCTGTGCGCGCAGAACTTCGAAAATAAAAATTATGCATTCAGTACTCTCACACATCGTTACAATGTATGCACGTGATATACGTGTTATAACAACACTAAACTATAATATTTTTGAATTCACACGAATGATGTGGAAACAATCGATTACTCGTTGCTGGTACGTCGAATAATATAATCAAACGCTTGTGCGTATCATTACGCCATGTATACAAACACTCAGTGGCGCCGAATATGTACTTTTATGAGGCAGTTCATCCCTTCATCTAACTATGGTGGTGGGTGTCTGGTGTTTGGGCGGATGCAGGGTGGGTTTGGTGGATAAATTTACATACTAATTAGTAAATCTTAGGAATGTACAAATTAAATAACAGTCGATCTGTAGATGGTAGAATACTATGATGCGATAGAGCAATTCGCCTATCAATGCATGTCTTTATACTAGAGGTCTCGTTTGAAAACGTGAATTAATATGTACTTGAATACGGAGTTCGTGTTCACGTGAATGGAAAATTTACAATCGCGTATATTTGATACACGTGAATTTACTGTCCGTGTTGACGTGAATTTGTGTTATTCACGTATTCACGAATACACCACACGGTCGTACGGATATACAGTAACTGGCCTTTATGTACAGCGATTGTCGATTGAATTATCTGATTATTATTTACTTTTGTTATAAGTTAGGTACCTATACCTCCTAATATCAAATAAAATGAGTACTTATCATCGATTTATTTTTTATTTTGACAGTATGTTTGTATGTTCATACACCGGTTTAACACTCTTGATATAGTATGCAGTTAATTTTATCAATAATAGATGAATTCGATTAGCAGAAGAAATTTTATCAAGTATGAATACAGTCAAAATTATTCCATTTGAAGAATATTCTTCAAATATTACTTTTTAATTTTTGCGAGTTAATAATGGGTAAAAAAAAAGTTGGGTATGGTATTATGCGAAACGAAAAAGGATAAAGCATTTTGTGAATTGTGTGATGAAGAAGAAAATAATCAATATTGTTGTATTGGTGGAACAACAGGGTCTTTAATAAGATACTTAAAAATAATACATAGTGTCAATAAACCAGAGCAATCGACGTCTAGGAGGTTCAGGTATGTATTTAGTAATACAGTTGAACGTTGATTATTCGCGCGTAAATTATTTGTAATATAACATTTTTGTACAAATTTATTTTTAGACTTATTTAATTTAGATTTATCATTCCGTATGTTTGTTTAATCTTGCACATATTATGCAATATGAGATTATATTAAATAATATAATATATGATAAACACTTAATATATTATATTTATAAATTTTAGATTTCAATTTCAATTAATACATTTTTTTTTTTAGTTATTCATACAGTAAATTAGTTTTTAATTTTATTTAATTCTGTAAAATTATATAACCAATATAAACACCAAACTCTTAAAATGCGTAGTAGTTCAATTGGTGCACTACATTGTTATTCCTTGAAGGTTTTTGATTCGTTCCAAGCATTAGACTTTTTGCATATTTTTTTTTAAATTTTTGAACATTTATATAATATTATATATAATTTTATAAAAAAAATTCCAAGAAATAATAAGAAGCAAATAGGTATTTATAAAACATTTAAAACATTTATTTTATAAAATTTGAAAAAAAAAATTTTATTTCCTACATTAGTCTTATATTTTCAACTTATTTGAACACACGTATTTATAGGTTAAATTCATCCAATAACCTTGAATTAATTGACTCTTTACAAGACAATAATCTCGCTGCAATTAACTCTTCTCAATAAATAGTTTTACTAACGAACAATGAATCTTCATCTTCAAATGCTAGTCAAAATAATGGAATACCTAGAAAACGTCGCCGTATTTTGGCACCTACTAAAGATACTGAAACTAATTGTAAATACGATCCTGAAAGAACAAAATCAATTCATAAAGTATTTGCTAAACTTATTTATATGAACCAATTAGCCTGTCATTTTGTTCAAGCTCTGGATTCCGTCAATTTATGGCCGTCATAAAACCCAATTATAACATTTTGAAAGAGGAAGCATTAAAAAAAAAAAGACTACATTTTTTTAAATCAACTGTTGAAAATAAAATACAAGTACCATAGTATTCTTATTATTATTTATATTATTTCGTGCTTGTTTTTTATATTTTTAAATTGTTTCCATTGTTAAAATGTATTATTTTTATTATATTTATTATAATTAATTATTGCATATCATTATGAAAAAAAAATATTCCTTAACCCTAGGATAAATTTAATTATTATATGCAACAATGAAGAAGTAAATATTAAAACTTTTTAACACGTAAATACGTGAATTAATTATACGTGTTTACGGATTTTTTAAGTACACGGTTTAATAATTCCGAAAGTTAATTTCACGTGAATGCGTGAAAACGTGTACACGTGAAATAGGGACCACTACTTTATACCATATCAAGTATAAAGACGTATATTGATATTTATATCTATTTCGCACACATGATGAAGCTAAACGCCTATCAGTTCTCAGTGTTTAAAAGTAATTATACATCATGCAAATACATCTTTTAAACATTTAAGATAGTTACTTAAATTATCAATAGCCTCGTAAAATATTTTTGAAACATCTTTTTTTAAATTACAGTTGTTTAAAACATGAAATAAACTGTTTTTTAATTTACGTTTTTTTAATTTTAATAACGTATTTAATATTTAAATAATTATAACTATATTTATATATGCTTTAAATTGATATTAAGTGTTTTTTTTTCTAAACCACTATGAAGTAGGTAAGCAATAAGTAAGGTAAATAGGTAATAATTAATACCTAATTTAGAATTATCATTTCGAATATGATAAAATATGAGGCATTTTACTCGATCATAATTTATAATATTATCATTATGTTTTAAGCAGCACATATAACAATAAATACAATCGTATTTCAAAATAGATTTAATAGTGTGGGCTGTCGGTTATAACCCCCCCCCCCCCTCGGATACGCCACTGGTGAACAGTGTTGTGCTTTAGTTAAATTTATCTAGATATGTTATCTAGATATAAAAACTTCATATCTTTATCTCATCTAGATAAAAATAAAATTTACATCTAATTTTCATCTAGTTAAAAATCATAGCCATCTAAATAAATGTATCTAGATAATTCACAAAATCTGTAGCTAATCATTAGTAATAACTAATCTACAATTTTATCATTCAATATAAAATAAATAACTAAATAAGCAATTTCATTTGTATATTTACTAGCAAAAATTGGTTCTAAAATAGTTTTACATAGCATTTATTATTAATTATGAACAATGACAATTTATTATGTAATATACATATATTACCTACATAATATGCATTGGAGGTGAGAATTATTTATAATTTCATAGTATGGCCCATACGAGTAAGTCTTAAGCCTGTATTACTAGAGCATTTACGAAAATATTAGAACAAAGATAACGTACTATAGATTTAAACTTGTTATTATTGCAGTTGCGCGATAGATGCTTTATAAATACTAAAATACAGAAATAATTTTCGATAAGAAAATAGCAATATTACAATACGCACTACGCTATACCTACAAAAAATTTGATCATTTTCCATCATCATTCGACCGCCTTAAATTCAATATTTATACAAAAATTATGTCCATTGTTCATGTAATCATGTGCTCTAAATAATTGTCATTACCGGACCCCAATTCAATGAATTCGTACTTTGATGTGTGATAATATTATTGTACAACAAAATAAATATCAAGCGTGAAACGTCCGTTATTTATTAAAAATTTGAGGTCCATTTCCCCAGTACACCCACTTCCAAATTTTGGGTCCATTCCAGTTCCAATCGTTTATACCTCGTTTGTACCTGTTTGTACCACTAGTCCCTTCGTTTGTACCTCAACAGATTTTAAGTTATAACTGTTTTAATTGTGGGGGTGCTGAGGAAATGTCTGCACCCCCACTTTCGAATTTCGGATCCGATCCGGTCCCAATCGTTTGTACCTCGTTTGTCCCTGATTGTACCTCTATTCCCTTCGTTTGTACCTCAACAGTTTTTAAGTTATCCCTGTTTTACTTAGTAGGATACAAGTAAATCACACTTTTACTCTAGAAAATAAAAAACATTGTGTGTAAAGTTTAATTTTGTCTATGATACATACATTTACTTAGTTTAAGCTATCATGTACATTTTCAACATTTCTTAAGTTCGTGTGGTTAAAATTTTTGAAATTTTGTGGAATTTTGCATTTTCCGCATCAGATGTATTTCCATGACTAGTGTAAGCTTAGGCATACATTATATTCAAATTTACAATATATTTTTAATAAAAAACGAATTAAAATACAAACGGTTGAATATAAATATATGTGTATGTAAATTGTTACGAAAGTTATACTGATCAACTTTACTTTAATTCTGTTTTAATAAATTATATATGTAATTTTTTTGAATTCACTATTTAAAATAGATATTTATTTTATTTCTTAATAAAAAGTAATAAGTGTCTTATTAAAATTTATTCAGTGGTATTTATTTGGTTATTAGAACTCTATTGAAATATTTTATCGTATATTTTCTATAATAAACAGCTTTGCCTAAATTTTTTTTTATAATTTATACTATTTATTATAAAATTATAAGATATCGACTTAAACTTATCAAAATATTTGAGTTACTCCTAATTTCAAGCTAGTATATTTTTCGATATTTTTCTTTACCTATAGAGAATAATAATTAAAAAATATAATTATAAAAAAATGCCTCCAATAAAATATTTGATTATATTATGTACCTAATACAATTAGTAATGTATGTATATAATATCATTCAAACGTTTATGAAATTGTACTTTTTCGTATAGAATTGGTATTGGTAAAATTTTAAAATTATATGGAAATCTAAAATAAAATATAGAAGTAAAATTTTACTTATATGTTAGCAATCTTGAAAAAGATACTTTTAAACATATAAGTATAAATACAGACACTTGTTTTTAAAAGTATTTGAAATACGCATTAAATATCTTATAAATAAATGATTCAAGTACGATTACAGTTACTTCCAAAAAGTATTCGTAGATTCTTTTAAAAAGGAACTTAAAAAAAATGCATAATAACTTCGTAATTTACATTATAATCATAAAAATAATATATAAAAATTTTAAAAATATTTTATTTTTTTAAAAAAATTAGTTAGACTGTAGATTATGTGATTATGTGAGTAACTGAAATTGTACATCTTGATAGCTAGTGTTGTTGTTTTATATGTTTCTTTATTATTCCAATCATTCCATGTGTAACTAGTTGCCAGTTGCCTGTTGATAACTAATTAGTATAAAAATATGTAGATGATTTAATTTAATTTCTCCATTATGTTAATTTAAAATTATTAAATATTATATAGACTACTATAAACAAATAAAAAATAATATAGGCACTTCATGCAAAATTAAAATGTTATTTTAATTATATAGTATATTTATTTTAATGATATAATCTACCTAAAAAAATATATATTATTATAAAATTATTAATCGATATAGGTAGTAGGTACATGGTATATGTATATTATATAGTGTAGACTATATACTATATATTGAATTCTCAGGTTCTGATATTTGGAATAGAATACAACTTATAGTAAATAATTATTATTTCACTTATAAATTGTATTTATACAGCACGGTTAAATGTATTGTTATAATTTTACGAATTAATTTATTAATTTTATAAAAAAATATTTAAAAGGAGTATTTTATTATAAAAATGTATTAATTTATTAAAACAGAATTAAAGTAAAGTTGATCAGTATAACTTTCGTAACAATTTACATACACATATATTAATATTCAACCGTTTGTATTTTAATTCGTTTTTTATTAAAAATATATTGTAAATTTGAATATGATGTATGCCTAAGCTTACACTAGTCATGGAAATACATCTGATGCGGAAAATGCAAAATTCCACAAAATTTCAAAAATTTTAACCACACGAACTTAAGAAATGTTGAAAATGTACATGATAGCTTAAACTAAGTAAATGTATGTATCATAGACAAAATTAAACTTTACACACAATGTTTTTTATTTTCTAGAGTAAAAGTGTGATTTACTTGTATCCTACTAAGTAAAACAGGGATAACTTAAAAACTGTTGAGGTTCAAACGAAGGGGTTAGAGGTACAATCAGGTACAAACGAGGTACAAACGATTGGGACTGGATCGGATCCGAAATTCGAAAGTGGGGGTGCAGACATTTCCCCAGCACCCCCACAATTAAAACAGTTATAACTTAAAAACTGTTGAGGTACAAACGAAGGGAATAGAGGTACAATCAGGGACAAACGAGGTACAAACGATTGGGACCGGATCGGATCCGAAATTCGAAAGTGGGGGTGCAGGCATTTCCCCAGCACCCCCACAATTAAAACAGTTATAACATAAAAACTGTTGAGGTACAAACGAAGGGAATAGAGGTACAATCAGGGACAAACGAGGTACAAACGATTGGAACCGGATTGGACCCGAAATTTGGAAGTGGGTGTACTGGGGAAATGGACCTAAAAATTTGTACTATACGCAGAGCACTCACATCCATAACGTGTTCAGTGTTTATCGTCAGACCGTCTTTATATTTTTCATAATTCTGTCTATGACTTTCAATTTTATTTTATTAGTGAAATATTTTATATTTTGAAATGGATCGTTACATAATTCAATCATTACCCAAGACCAAAAGAGTTCGCCTACAAACGGATGATAACGTTGATGCCTTATATAAATATCTAGATAAAAATTATTTTATCTACCTATATCTAGATAAAATTGATTTTATCTATCTACATCTAAATAATTTTAAATCCAGATATCTTATCTATATCTAGGTAATTTTTTTTTACCTAAGCATAACACAGCTGCTGAATAGGTATGTACCTAATAGATGAAATTGGAATGATAAATTACGAGCGATTTTATGATGGTTAAATTTACAGTATCATTCAACCATATAACCTGTCATTATTTTGCTCTAACTCTTTGGGAGGTAGTATTAACCAATTTTTATACTATGCCCCACCAAATAAAATACAAATCGGCGCCATTGCGAATACTGAACAAACAATTTATGTTTCTGAAATTGTACAACGATTACAACGCAATTATAGACATTGCAATAACAGTTACTCCGGACGGTCCGACGTCAACTCTTTTATTGTAACTTTACACTGCGTAACAGCTTTTGCTGAGCATGTATTATTTAGCGCACGCATATACTTACACGCGATTAAAAACGACATATAGGTTCGTGATACGCAATCGACGAAGTGTTTCAAAACGAAACGATTAAACATAATCGCATTCCTATTGATCAATAGTCGGTCGTAATGTGATTGTTTCATAATGTTCAGACGTATGTATTTTAGATTATATTCCTTCGTGCGAAGCTGCTACTAATACATTTTATAAACACAGCTTAAATATACAATACAATCATATTGATAATACCACGTTACAATACAAATAAAAACCAAATTAAAACACTTGTATGAAATACACCAATGACTAATTTATGCGTAGAAAAATTAAATAACTATAATCGCTTTTGTTATTACCATAAACATACATACACTCGCACACATATACATACGTATATATTATATTTAATTGCAACATTTAAATGACACGAGTAAGATATAATATGCCATAGAGAAATAAATACCATTAAATCTCGTGTCGAGAACAGCAATTTACTACCCTTATTTATTAAAAAATGCACGATAAAATTATTTCCGTTTTTTGCTAAAACACAAGTATCGTGGGCTACGTCATTACAAATAATTGATTTATGATCGGCTGAATAACTCATTTACGATTTATGCCGAATTATAATTTTATAAACGTAATATTTTTAATTCAATTAATATCGTTTCGCCAATAGTTAAAAGTCTTTCCATTAAATAATATATTAAAAATATTATAATTATATAGTGACAATATGAAAATATTGTTTAATAAAAAACACGGTAAACAGTACTTTGATCATCTTGAAATTTTTATTTCTACAAACAACTGAATTCCGCTTGACCTTCGCTCTCAGAATCATTTTTCCAAACGATCTACCGTAAGGCTTTCGGTATCGAAATAAATCGATATCCATGACTGGACGACTAACGCGCCAGTATTTTATCGCTTGATTTTTAATTTAATTTTTTTTTTTTTTTTTTTGTTTCGGTTCGTCGAACATCGCTGGTTGTAATGTAGTAATAATAGTACGTAGTATACAGTCTCACGCATCGCGTAGGCAGAAGATAATGCGTACATTGATAGGGTTAATATTGTCATTATTTAGTACATATTTCGTGATTCGTTGGTAAAGAAGGCTGATCCGGGCGTAGCTGAGGGCCAGATACCGTTCTTGGCCGTCGAACCAGAGAGCTACAAGGTGCTGCTGGAGCCGAAGCTGTACGCCGCCGACGGCACGGTTCCCAAACATGACGTGGAATACGAGGGCCGCGTGGAGGTGATATTTCGCCCCAAAGCCGACACGTCCGTCATCAGTTTGCACGTGGGCCGTTTGAAAATCGGAGAGGACACGATGCTCAAGCGCAGGCTGAGCATGGACACGCCGACCGAACTGGTGCTCAAAGTGAGTGGCCACATCTTCGTTTGTATAATACTCCCACCGTGCGTGGGTATAGTGTGAAATGATTTAAGATTGAATCGGTACGATCATCATCGTTACATTCATCGAAATGAACGGGAAATCAATGTATGAGGTATCAGAAAAAAATTTGCTTCATCTGTTGTGTGCCACCTTCAGTATGCTTCGCAATGTCATTTTTTTTGCCAAAAATCTTTTTTTGCTTTTAGTTTGAACAATAAATTTAAGTACATGTGAACAAATTAGTCAGTGTCAGTTATTGTCAGTAAACATGTAGTATGCGGAAGATGATGTAAGATGAGTGAGTCGACGTTAGAACAAATATATAAAGATAAGGAATAGTATGTAAACGGAGAAGATATGAGTGAATAAAGCAAGACAGTCGAAAAGTGTGTTATTAGACAAGAGTAAACAGTAGCAAAAAGGGTTGTTATGACGGAAAAAAATAAGGTAAATGGAAGACAAACCGTTCAATAAAGAGCGATGTGTGTGGACATCTCGATGTATACCGATGCGAACGATTGTAAAGGAAAACCATCATCGAATAGTCACGAGTTTTATTTGACGAATTAGCTTCAATCGCACATTTCATCATAATATGTTACACGCCCGCGTTGCAGGCGATAATTATCTTTATATAACCATTGTAATCGTTTCAGGACGAATCGAAGTACGAACTGAACACCGAGGTGGACACCGAACAGGAAACGCTAACAGTAACCGTGGGTGAAACCCTCAGATCCGGGCATTATTACAGTTTATTCGTAAACTTCACGGGCACCGTTGGTAGGCCGCAGGATGGAGGACTGTTCAAGGTCGTATTCGACAACAAAGAAGCAGTAAAAGACCAATGGTACGTGGCCACGAAGTTGGCACCTCGTAAGGCACGGAACTTATTGCCGTGCGTAGACAATCCGAAGCACAAAGCCATTTTCGAGATGAGCGTCGTCAGGAACAAGGAAACCAGCGTGATTTTCAACACCAAAGTGAGGTTGACGGAAGAATAGTAAGTCCGACTAATTTTTTTTTTTAAAGACGATTGAGAGACGATCGCTTTTGTGCAATACAACATAGGTATAAAGATACAGCTCCACTTAAAAAGATTTTTATTTGTACGATACGATCGTTTCAGCCACTTTGAACGCGCCATGTTCATCTTTGATTTATGCGTTCTACCAATTAATAATCACCGATCGTTATATTTTTGTCACACATATCATATAAATATATGGTTGTAATTGACTATTTTACAACGGATTATTTCGAGAAAAATCCACAAAGTAAAAACAAAAGTGCAGAGTCGTGCCAAGTTAGTGCGAGTTCTGCTAAAACACAAAAAGCAACATGCGCTTTGTATTTATATCTAATACGGTGCTGAATGATTCACTAAAACGTCGAAAATGCTATCGTCACCGTAAAAACGTGAATCGCGCAATAAACCGTTTGAACCTATGGATATCATATTATAATCTAACGGCTACGAGAAAATCTTGAATGGTTTTTTTCCCCTGATTAATGATGTAGGCGCAACATGAGGTTTGTTCCAATACGTAGTCAAACTATCGTAAAACTGACGGGATCATGTGCAGTAGAATTTTTCTGTTTCAATACATTCAAAACGTAAACTCAAACCATCAAACGATTGTTCAAACCCGTAATTGGACCAGTTTTAAGGATTGTTATTGACAGTCAAAACAGTCCGCTTATTCTAACTGGGAATAATAATCACAGAAGCTATTATCATTATTTACTATTATATTATTAATATTTCAGTAATATTTCTTATTAGCTATTTACGTTTGAATTTTCAGGAAACGTTTACTAAAATTGTAGTAGGCCACCTTTTTGACACATTTAGAAAAACAATTACTTTTTTTTTATATATTATATTATATTATTATATTTATTTTTTGAATTCACTTAGTAATTTGTACCCATATAATAATAAGAATGATATTATATAAGTAGAACATATTTGTCAACATTTTAATTTAAATCAGCATCGATTTATAATATTTATTATAATTAGCTTGTTATAATACATTTATAAATAATCCTAATCTATATTTGAGAATAATAAATATTTTATAAGTGTAGGTAACTCTTTAATCACGGCCTCTTGCCACTCATTAATGGTAGGATAGTAGGTCCTGATTATTACAAGGGCCTACAACCTACATGACAGCAGGTCAGTAGTCAGTCCACCCCTAAACACAACATGGAAATAAAAAAAAAAAATTAAAAAATAATCAAACATCTCTTATCTTATTATCATTAACAGTTCGAAAAGTGTTCCAACAGAGCTCAGAGTCTATTATCAATTCATGTTAACGAATGAGCAATAAATCAATTATTGAACAATCATCAACTAATTCCAAATTTCGTATTGGAACAAACATGTGGAATAACAAAAAATTAATCGTACGATTTAACGTATAGGATTCGAATAGATTGGGAAGTATTAAGTCGATTTACCGAATCTCGCGATGCTTTGATTTAAAAACGTATACATGATAAACGCATAGGTTTTAGAGTATTAGAAATGGATTTCACGTAATTCTTCCCGAGTACACTTTTTCACACGGACTAACTTATTTTATCTATAATGCACTTGGAACGAATTTACCATTTCTAAGAAATTTCGATATCTTCATGGTCTTACGATTTTTCAATCTATATGAAGCATAACAATATATGTTAAAACTGTTCAATAGAAATAAGATATAATAAATTAATAACGTAACAATATACCTATAAAATGTGAGTAAGTACTGTAATAAACCAAAAATAAAAAATAAAAAAGTAAGAGGGAGGAGGAGAAAAGGAAAATATGGATAAGATATAGAATGTGGGGAGATAGATAGATAAATAGTGAGATTGAATTTATTACCTTCCTCTTTGTTTAAGGAAGGGCGTTCAGTTACAAAGATTTAAGAGCCGGTCAGTGATACTGGACAATCTTGTAAACTAAATAAAATAGCACTTACTGGTTCCGTTGTAGATATTCAGATATCGATAGAACTTGGACCGATCCTTTGAGGATTTAACCTACTTAAGATATCACAATGTATAATTAAATGGTGTACAAAAAACTCTGATAACATATTTTTTTTATATTTAGTACAGACTAAATATTGATATTATTATTGCTATTGTTATTTCCATTTATTTCTTCAAAAATATATTGTCCCCTATTGAACAGGTTTTTTGGTGGAGGCCATGCAAGGATATGCAATCCTAACTGCAATACGTTAAGTATGATCTACATTAGTGATTCCCTAAGTATGTTCAGTGGAACCTATTCGTTCTGTAGGATAACAAAGGGTTCCGCAAAATATATTTGAATATCGAAGTAGTAATTGTAATAAACAATAATTATGAACTGTCATCAACAAACTTTTTGGAGTATTGGTTTTTCAATAAATAATTGAAGAATTGGGATTAAATTGGAGTTAGAGACATATATTCCACGAAACACAAAATATTTCCTAAGGGTTCCGTAATCGTAAAAGTTTTAAAACTTCTGATCTATATCATAGTGGACAGAGCAAACGTGTCTATTTCGTGAAACCTATTGCATTATTGTATTATATTATTTTTGTTTCATATCTTTGTGCCAACTCTACCAGAATGTTCGTTTGTAAAAATTCAGTATACGACATTTTAATACCCTTATTTTTACAATAGAAGTTATTTAATAATATAATACTACTGTACTACTGATTTAAGATCAAAATAAACTATTTCCGAACGGTGTTACAGCAATATGGGCAGTGATCTGTTAATTGATCACTTCGAGAAAACCGGACTCATTAGACCGGACTCCTTGACGCTTTTCATGACCAACTTCAAATCGTACCCCATACAAACGAAGAATTCGGTCGAGTTGTCCGTCTGGAGTTCCGATCACACGGATTCGATTGACATAATTACCGACGTCGTGCCGAAAACGTTGGATTTCATGACGTCATATTTGGCGACCAACTTTCCGACCAAAAAACTGGACATCGTCGTTGTACCCAGTATGGTCATGCCTTCAACTGAAAGTCCAGGCTTAATCGTGATTAAGTTTGTTAAATTAAAATGAATTATAATGCATATATGAACACAGACCAGTCAGTTAACTGCTTTTGCGGTAAACTTATATTTGTTTTTTTTCCTCTTCTTTTTGTCCAGAGATTCAGTTCTGGGTACTGCGGAGAAGTTGTCGATGGTCGACTATCAGAAATCCGTCGAATTCATAGTTCTTCCGGTCATTAGGCAGTGGCTCTTGCCGCAGCGAGGACTTGACCGAGGAAGTAACGAGGACAAATGGATAAACGAGGCACTCGTAAACTTTTTAAAAATCATCAATATCGATCACGTAAGACCAACAATCGGCTATATCGTCGTCGTACAAAATAATAAATTATTATTTATTATGCTTTACCGTAAACAGTAGCGTACGATTACAAATAATTCGCCTCGCAATCCGGAATAAAAATAAAATTAATATAATATTAGGTATATCTCTTATCATCATGAAATTATATCAATCCGAGTTCTATAGCCTTTGCAACAGTGAATATTGTATTGCTTACGAGACGGACAAAAGGGATTTTATTATTTCTCTTAGTGCACATATTGTTACATTTATAAATATTATTTATTGTGTTGAATGAGTTTATTATTAATTTAAGTCGTCATAGACCTACAACAAAATTACAGTATAAATAGTTGAGTTTTTCGAATTAATTTGTTCAAAATTATTATCTCCAAAAAAAACCAGTCCAAACAATGAATCATCGACGTTATATAATTTATAATATTGTTGATGATGTCAACATTCGAATAATTCTCTGTTACTATTCGGACAAACTGGAAAATGCGACGAATATAATTGTTATAATTAAGCTTTAGAGCGCATATTGTTATAAAATTTGAAATTCGAATTGTTGTCGAAAATGTATAGTTTTCGTACATGTTTGAAACGCTTTTAAAATCTTTTTTATGAATAATTACAGGTGAACCGCACGGTTCAATAGTTAAGTATAAAAATTATATTATTGTGATCCGTAGAAAAAAAATATTCAAATCGACAAAAATCTTGGACGTCTGCTTGGATACGGACATTCGACTTATCATCTTTGTAATCACGTGAACCCGTTGTACGACAATATACTGGCAGGTGCAACAAAAATATTTCGCGAAGGGTTTTTCAAGGGCTACGATAGCAAAAACAATTGTTATTAATTAACAAACGTCGACAAACAAAATGATCTTAACCTGTTTAATTTAACACGGGCAAAAACTACCAATCGTCAAGTTCTAATTTAAATATATATACATTTTTTCACTATTCCATACGATAGCATGGGGGTTAAATCTTCCCCTCGTGGTACGCGTCCGATCGCACATCATTACACGCATGGTGCCATCGACGACGACGTATTGTGTATTTTAATTTGATTTTTTTTTTCTACCGGTGCGAAGATCAAACCCGCGTGGAATCTTGGAGCTAGATTCTCCATGGACACGGTGCAACCGATCATGTTCTATGACAGCTGGACGAACTCCGAACCGTTGGCTAACTACGAACAACACACGGAGATATACGACTATATCGTTCCAGCCAAAGGTCAGTGGGATCGTTTTCGACATCAGCACATGCGGTAATATTAATAATAGTTGATTTTCGTCACCAATATTGTGTAGGCACTTCGATACTGCGGATGTTGAACGATGCGTTCACGGAAGAAATCTTCAAACAAACCGTGCGAGAATTCGTACACACCGAGTAAGTTTTCATTTAATTTTGCGAGTAATATGTATAGCTTTTTCGTGAAAACTCTTTCGAATTCCAGGGGATAAAAATATATTTTTTGTATACATTTTTTTCATAAAAATAATCAGAATTTATTGTGAAAGTATCGAATGCATTATTCCGGGATTTCAATTGGGATCAAACATCAAAATAACGTACATAGAGATTTATACAACTATAATATAATTGAGTTAAAAAAGATATAATATCTTTTTAACTAAGTTAAATCACTTTAATTTCTGTTTAACTTTAAATCTATACAAGTTAATGAAAAATGATGCAACTTTTAATTTTTAAATAAAACTAGTATTTCTCTAGGTTAGCTTAATTTAACGAGTTACACAAATTAGTTCACTTATCCAGCCAAGCCGTAAACCACCTAACCTTTGGCAATCCATAATATGCGGACCATAAAAGTAAACAGCAGCGATTAGTAGCTTTGAAAATTCATACCATTTAGGCAAAGCAAGATCTACAAGAGAATGGTATCGGTTTTTTTGGAATTTCGTTCCGCGTCGGTTCTTTCATTTGAATATTATCTGAAGACTTTTAATTGCATTTCGTTTATGTTCTGAAAACATTTTTCCAAAAAAAATTTCCGATAACCAATCCTTAGTCGATTTCATGCTCGGTTCATGTCCGATTTCGGTATTAGTCTCGGTATTATTACTCTTCGCTTTACTGTAACACTAGTTGAGTCTTTGGATCTCTCCCGGTAATGATCAGTTTTGTTGGAATAAAAAATCAGTCGGTGTTGTCGCGAGTGATTCGACGCATTGGTTTTTAAACGCGAAATTCGCACCACAGAATCTGCTGGCTTCGATCGATACAGCTATAAAATAAAATGGTACGATTATAATAATTTTTCACCAAAAAAACAACACCGTAGAAGTTACTTTGGGGGAAAAATCGAGTATCACGTTCGATGGCCAAATTACCGAGACGACCCTATTAAAATAGATGCGAGACGAGGATTAAGGGAGCAAATAAACGACAGCGCGTGGTCATTATGTACTTTACAAGTGGCTTTATTGTCTCGATGCGATAGTTTTTATTTTATTTTTTTATTTTTTTCACTGAGATAACATAAACAACGACGTCGAATACGATTTGTCTTAATATCACGGGGTATAATTAGAATTCCGAAGCCGTTTTCGAATTCATCCGGCTCGTTGTACGATGTTCGTTTAAATGGACGTGTAGTTATAACACAGCGGTACTCAACCCAATGGTCACGAATATTATATGTTCTAGAATATAGAGAGCTACAGGAAAAAGATAAAACTGTTGACTCGTAGTTGTAAAAAAAAAATTTATTTGAAGGGAAGAATCAAGAGGATTGAGGTTTACGGTAGGTGCCGGTATAATAACATTATATTGTACGTCGAGTGGTGCATTTTTTTTCGAAGGATTTACAAGTACAAGGACACGATAAGTTTTTGGACGCTGTTGGACGATAATGCGAGAAACAAATCGGTCAAATTGCCTGAAAATTCGGCGGTACTGCAGATTGTGAACACTTGGGTTCAAAACAAAAATTACCCGTTGGTGAAGTTACAAGTGGACGGAGACGATTTAATAGTGAAACAAGTAAACGACCACGACCCGCCGTGGCGGTCGGCAACACGATTCTAATAAATGTGAAGCAACATTGATTTTAGAATATAAAAATTAGCGTTGGGCATGAAATCTGAATATTAGAATTACCCAGATATTCGGATATTTAAATCCAGATATTAATAAAATTCTTATCCGGATTTTCCAAATTATACAAATTATTCAGATTTATAGATTTGTTTTTATTTTTTATATAACTAATAATTATTTTCAATTTATTTTAATAAACATTTGAAACAACGAGTTCAAATTATATTCTGTAGAAATTATATTCATAAGAATTTAAAAATGGGCCAATGAACGGCAAAATTAAGTAAGAAATAGAAAATCCGAATATGCTCATCTCTAATAAAGATACGCCATTCCATTATTACGTTATTTTTTATTGTTACATAATTATTGACGTCTACGTAGACGCAGCCTCAGGATATCGCTGAAATCGTTTGCATTTCAACTTGATAAAAGCCGGTTTATATCAATTGTTTCTATTGTTTTCGTGGGAGTCTGTAATTTTCACCAAAATAGAAATAGATGATATGCACCACCACAGGTAGTCAAAAATAGTGTTTGTAATTTGCACCAAAATTAGTATTCAATTATTGAGTTATCAAATATTTGATTATTTCGTCGGTACCTTCGACGTATTCACGATGAACAAGATTTGTCGACTCGAATAACTTTAATAATTTTCCGGGATTTCTAAATTAAAGATTATGTAAAACGTAAATAAGTAATAGAACGACGGGAAGTCAATGGTTAATGGTTAATGGTGAATTCCAAATTAACATCTATAAGTCCTAATAAAGTAGGCTCATGTTTTGTTGATGACCTAATATCAACAATAACAGCCGATATTAAATTTCAAGTGTTTGCAGATAATTTGACAGACAACTATATAGATAATAATTAATTAATTCCACTACATATTTGGGCAGTTGCACCAGCATCATCTACATTTACAACGAATGCATGTGAATCATTCAGAATTCAAAATTTTACTATCTACGTCCTCAAATGTTTGTCTTCATTTAAATTCTCACCGATTTTCAAACAGATACATAAATATCATAAAACTATAACGTATACGTTATATACCGAATAACCGAATAATCTCTCGAGCAAGTCATCAAACAAATCAAATTCAAAATGCTTTGGAAAAGTATATTGATAAATTGATATCAAGAACTTCACTCGTTAAATTAATTGCGTACAAATACAAAACAATCTGTAAATATCAAAATAGTGAATTATAAAAATAAATAAGTTAACATTTTTTAAATGCAATATTATTGTTTCCAAAAGTATAATTTTAAAAATTTTATATATAATCAGAGCATCAAAACATTTTAGAACGTTAAGAGTATAACTTTAAACTATTCAAAAAACGATTGAAATCAATAACAGATAACAAATCGGTAAACAATAAACAATTTAAAACGGATAACAGATAACGAAACAGAAACGAAAAACGGTTAAAATTATTATCGAATAACAGAACAGAAAACGATTAACGATTGAAACATAAAAGAAATCGCCATGGAAAAATATTTATAACTATCAGTAAAATAAATTTGGAACATAGTTATTTTGGTAAAATTGACTTAAATTACTAGGTAATCTAAATATAATAAATAAAAAAGAAAGTTTAAAACAGCAATAAATGTATCAACTAATGAAATATAAATAAGCATTAACAATTATAATTTATAAATATGAATTATGAAATACGTCGGATGTCGTTGACGAGGAAGCCGTATGGCCTGCCTCATCAAAAATAATTTCGGTGAACACCAATGAAACATTAGTAATACACCATAAATAATTTATAAATTAACAATACATACAAACTTTACGCGTGGTATGTGCACTTTATTGTTGTTGTACAACAAATATGATTGCCTTATTTATAAGTTATGAGTTATGAGAATCACAAAAAGAAAATATCGTTAAAAGCAATCAGAGGCGTATTTAAGGGGGTTGATATGGGTGTTAGAACACCCCCCCCATCGACCTTATTTTATGGTATTTCACCTAATTGTTAACTTACTTTGATTATTTGAATAAACGTTGTATACAACTTGTAGGTTTTACATATTAAGACAGCCTTAATGTAATAATTTTCATCTATATAAATACATGGATTTTATTTATTTAATACGGGGTAGGGGGCCGAGGCTTCACTTACCGTAAGTCTAATAAATTTTAAAATACGTTAAATGAATCCTGGATACGCCACTGAAGGCAATGGTGTATTGGTACGTATACGCATGGGTATACGGCGTATACCCATCAGCTGATTTTCGGCCGCACACCTAATGTAAAATATTATTTTACTGGTATACGCTTCTAAAATAACTCGAAAACAAAAAAAAATTAATAATAATTTAATAGTTCATTGGAAAAAATTGTTATGAACCATGAAATTGATTGAAATATTTATCTGTTGAAGATTAAAGTGTACGCCGTGTTCAATATTGAACACGGCGTACACTTTAATCTGCAGTTCACAAAATATCACTGCAGTTCACAAAATATATATATATTTTGTGAACTGCAGTGAATAACATTGAATAAAATACAATAGTATAGAGTTAGTATGGAGTATGGGCATTTAGCCCATGGTTCTTAAATCTGCATCATGCAATTTGTAACGCACTGCAAATGTATATCTTGTGTTATAATTTATAGTCTTAATAGAAGTTATAAACATGTAATTAAAAAGGATTAATTATATGTTTTCGAACGTATCGAAAGAAAACAATTGACGAGCGAAGCGAGAAAATTTATTTTAGGATTAAAATTCAGATTTTTTTAGTGTGTATACCCACAAATATATTTACCAATACACCACTGGTCAAAGGTAATATATATATATATATGATATAATATTTAATATATATAATGTTATTTTACATGGTATTGATACTATATTTGAAAACGCTTCAAATTTAACACTTATTTAAATAACGCAAAACGGTAAACGGAAAATTTTTTTATCGTTTAAATTTGTATAACGTTTAAACTCTTAAATTGAATAACGTTTAAATTATTTATAACGTTATACGCTCAAATTGCTTATAACGTTTAAATGTCCCATAACGGTAAACATTATTTATTATTTTGATTTAAGTCATGTATATATTTGCTATATAATTGGTTTAAATCAATACTAATATTTCACAGAAAGGTGTGAATAAATTGATAAAATAACTGCCCAGAATCTAAAATGGAATATTCTCTAGTATCTTCTCATATCTTATAATCTATTGTCGAAATAATAATCGAGTCGATTTTTGGTGCAAATTACACATGTTGTACGTAATTGATATCAATTTTGGTCAGGGCTTTGCACCCGAATTAACCCGAACCCGTTACACCACTAAAACCCCTTAAAAAATCAAACACCCAAAACCCATTTAACTCGAATGATTTTTTTTTTTAAACACCCGAATTAACCAAAACCCGAATAAAATATTGGTTTTAACCCGAAACCCGAATAATTTTTTATTTTACAATCTATTTACGACATCATTTTGTATGTATTTTTTGTGGTTATTTCAATTTTAACATTAGTTGTTTAATAGTAAAATTATTATTCACAGGAATAATTTCACAAATAATATACAAAATTGTTAATTAATCTAAATTTATCTAAATAAATACAATAAATAAATATCATATTGACAGGTGTGCATGAATGGTATGGTATGTTGAATGTTCAAGTGTAAACAACTGGAATAATACTTTTAAAATTATCCCAAGCGGATACGTCGTATTATTATAATTTTATAGGTAATAGGTCTTCTACGAATCACTGAGTCGCTATTTATTGCAATACTGTAAGCCTGAAATAGAATTGATGTCTTGCGTATGATTACCTAAATTGTTGTTCTCGTTATTTGTATTTGTTCAGTGTATGACGTGTAGTACACATGTCTATGGCGTGAATTGTCAATTTTTGTTGGTGTAATAATTTCATCGTAACATTCATAAGTACAAATTGTTATTATTTTTGTATTACGCTATGTCCTAGCTAATGCGTTTATAGTGAGTGCACGCACAACAAACCATAAACGGAAATTTGGTGAAATTTGTGGGGGGGGGGGGCTGAGTATTATTTACTTATTATACCTATAGATACCACTGTGTGTAATTATTTATTTTAACAAGGCAATTTACGAAGTTTGACAGTTTGACATTTTTAATCAACAATTTAAACAAAAAAACAATTAGGTGCCTTATCTTAAACATTTTTGGAGTAGGTATTCTAAACAAAAATTATTAATTAATTAAATTAAACAACTTATACGGGTACTATTACATATTATTAATATTACATTAATTAAGATCGTTCCGAGTCATGAAAAGAAGTTTGTAAAATCTTAAGAATTTGATTTAATTTTTATCACAGAATATTTTTTTTTAATTCAGCTATTAAAAATCCATTTTACAATTATAATAATTATTGTATTTTTAATCACTTAACAATTTTTAGGGCTAGGGGGACGAAGACCTTTACTTTATATTTCTGGGAGGGGGGCTTAGTCCCCTCAAGACCCCCCGATTTCTACCTATGCCACAAATACAAACGCAGAATACAAAATAGTTTGTTTTTAGTCGCATGCGATATGCCCGCACTAACTAGGAGTAGGATATAGTGTTAGTATTTTTAATTTTAATAGATATTATAATTTATAAGATTCATACACATATTAAATAACCCCTTCTTCCCCGAAAATAAATTGTAATTACACCATTAATTGAAATTAACATAAGAATAGTTTAATTTATAAAACTATTGCACAGTTGTATAAGAAATTGATATTTTATTACATAGGCAGGTAATAAAAAATATAAATATTTCATTATTGGAGGGAGGAGGCTCAGCCTCTCAATCACCCTCCACCAATGAAAAATAATATTTTTCCTTGACTACTTAACACCCGTATTAACCAATATTAACCCGAATAATATCGATTAACACCCAAACGTTTGTTTAAATGTTGTATTGCGGTGTTTGAACACCCGAAACCCGAAAAAATTATTCGGGTGCAAAGCCTTTATTTTGGTGCAAATTTACTACAACCGTATTCATCAAGTTGAATGCAAACGAATACAGCGACTTATATTGAACGCATTTATAAAGGTGCTGCCGACTATAACAATAGAATGGCGCATAATTTGTATCATCTAAAATCAACGGTAGTAACAACACGATGCAATACGATACAGTAGAGTTTTTCTTTTATTTTTTTTTTTTTCCGTACACTCATACCCAATTACAATAGTTTGGTTTTTTAATTTTTCTGGTTTTTCGCGTCTACTCAGTTTCGATTCGATTACGATGATCCCAAGCCTACCGACGACTGGGTGCTGCCGATCACGCTCACATCCGGCGTGGCGTACAGGACGACGGTGTGGCTGGAGAAGAGTCCGGAGACCAGAGTGCCAGGATACGTTTCGGCGTCGAAAGGCTCGTGGATACTGGCAAACCAGCACCAAACAGGTTAGGTCAGTGATAGCGAACAAATAAGTGGTGTTATGTAGTTATCATTTTTAGTTAGCATTGGTTAACGTATTTCTCCATAGCTATTTACTTATGAAAACACAACTGTTTAAAATGTTCAATATTGTGTTAGTAATTATAACATATCAATAAATAAATATATGATCTGATTTATGATGATGATGTGCATGTGTGTGTTTGTTTACCGCATTTAAACGTTTTCTTTTGTACTTTTGTAACAATCAATTCAAATGTTTTACTATGATACCATATCCATAAGTCTTAAATATTTTAGTGCAATTACTCAAATCATTTTTATAAAGTGTAACTATTGGGTGGCTGCTTTTATCGAATATAGGTTGAATGTTCGAAAGTCTAGTGTCATAGTGTCGAGTGTCATAAAATCAGTTGCTATAAAATCGAATGTTATAAAAGTAAATGTCATCTGTTATAATTTTTTTTTTTTTTATAATATATAATAAAAAATTATTTTTTAAATCACGATTTCATTTAATTCAGAAAATAACATAGTATAATATAATAATAATTAATAACACATCAGCTTTGTTAATACTGGAAAAATCTAAAATAATATGATATAAATGATATAAATAATCTAATATATAATAATAACATTTAAATAAATCTAAATAAGATAATCTAGATAAAATTAGTGGCAATAGCTCTTAAAACTCTTCACTTATATCATACTCAAGATTTTCTTCTGAATTTTACATATATTTTTTAGACGAATGTTAATATTACCTTTTTTTTTTTTTTTTTTGAGTTGCCGAGTTTGTAATTAATTAAAAAATTAATTTGATCCGATAAATATAACACAAATAATTTTGATGGACAAAATATTTACTTAAACAATCATAAAATTTTTTATAACAGATGACATTTATGAAAAATTACTTTTATAACATATAATTTTTATAACACCTGAATTTATAACACTCTACATTATGACACTTGACACATTTTGTATATTCTCATCAGTACGTCAGTCCTCATGTATGCTTATTGTAAAAATAATTAGAGATTATAGATAGGTAGAAAAAAATGTTTAATAAAACCATAAATTCCTATATCCAAATCGATTTTTTGATAAAAGAAAAAAATAAAAACGCAAAATAGTTCTATCCACCAATCTTTACAAGAACGGTTGTGCGATACGATATTTAGTTTTTTTATTGGCGTTAATACGATTTACTGATTACAATATGGTATTTCAGGTTATTACAGAGTGGCTTACGAGGACGTTCTCCTAGACAGGATTACTTACGAGATTAGCAACGGTAACTCTTTTGACGAGTTCACTGTTGCACAGTTGATCGGGGACATTTTCGAAGGAGCGTTTGCCGGCGTTAACGGATTCAGCGACGCTTTGGGATTTTTAGAAAAAGTCATTCAAACAGCCGGCCCGTACTCCGGATACTGGGAGGCCATATTTAGTGCTTTCAATAAAATAGAAGCTGTGCTGCACAACACAAGACATTACGATAATCTTTCGGTAATTTATTGGTATAGCGGATAATAATATCACTTTTGAAATTGATAAATAACGATTCTTTCGATACGCGCATAAAAAACAAAATTCAAACCTAGCGGTACACAAAGGAGGTTTTATTTAAGGCGGCCCTTAAAAGAGATCAATTTTGGTCAATAGACCATTCTGTTATACTTCTTTGTACAACACGTGTATGAAAGCTCTTTAAAGCGCTCTTCGTTGTTAGTTGTGACTGCATTGACCGTCAATCATGTCGTTTTTTAATGCTTGAAATAAAAAATAAAATTTGTACTCGTCAGTGTTTTCACACGAGAGTAGCCAACTTTTTTTTGTTTAAGTGAAATGGAATTACAATATCTAAATACAATAACTATATGAGTGTCAAAAAGTGTCCATTATTGGTATACTTAATCCTGTAACTATTTCACTTCATTTCAACATCACGTTATTCGTGCAATTATCATAAGTATCAGACTCATCGGCATCCAAGGGCCGATGTATGTATATATGTATGTATGTATGTATGGGTAGTATTTTATTTAGCTCCAAAGACAACTCAATTGAACTAATCTGATCTAGATTGCCTTCCTTGAACAAAGAGAAAGGTAAATTTACTTATAAGTATAACCCAATATATTATTACAACCAGAGCAAACGTACATGTTAATTGCATTTTTTAAATGTAATGGGTCCAATATTTCAATAATGTGAATATATTCCAAATTCAAATAAAAACCTTTAACGCCGTAAACAACCATGGTCGGCAGCTTTTACATATATTTTCACTTACAGAATGAAATACTATTATTACGATTGCATTATTAAAATTATAAGAGGTGTATTGGTTAAGGATTAAGAATTTTCATGCGAACAGTTTGTGCATTTTAATGATTGTAAATACTTTAGACGATTTAAATACTTGCAAACGAATCTTACACATTTCTTTGTGACAGCAATAAACATTAGTAATTATTTAGGACTTACAGCATTATTGAATGTTCGATTAAACACGTTTTCTAAAGGGTTTTTTTTTAGGATCACTGATATTTTATTTTCCGATCAACGATTTTTGAACTGTTTAAAGGTCCTCCGATAATAAGCTGCTGTTGCAATCGTTGCAATATATAGTATATATATATTACATATTATGTACATACGTACACCACTGTACCTATATGTGACTTTGTACACCAATTGAAGAACGCGATGTTTTTAGATTTTTATGGAAATGGTGGTCGAAAAAGCATACGATATATTTCAAACGAGTACAATCGATTCGCCGGATAAAATATTGGGAAAAATCAGCACGTTAAGCTTTGCAGGTCGCATGGAATTAAAAACGTGCGTTCAATGGGCTAAACAGCAGTTTGACGAGTGGATGAAGAAAACAGATGAAACGAATCCGTAATTACATTTTATTTTCTAACTGTGTCAATAGACAAACAAATTATACATATGATCTGATTGTACGATTTAATTTTTTACCCACAAATGTTTGGCCTGTAATCTCTATACAACGATCGTTAAAACCGTTCCACGATTATTTTGTCCGAAGTCTATGTTTGGATTCTTTCATCATTAAAATTCGAATTCAAGTACATCGTAAGCGCACCGTACTTTTAGAAATATCGTATTACAATTCAAGCATACGACTACGTATACGTAAAATCGAACAAAATTAATACAACCACGACGGTTGCTTTGATAGTTAAAACTAAAGCTCAAATATGATATTAACTATTAATTAATTATCATGTAATTACGATGTTATAAACAGTATTATGCCGACGAGAGGACTAATTCGATACGAACCTCGGTTATGCCGACGAAAGTCGATTCGGCGATTCGCTGCGATTTCAAAGTTTATAATATAACATCGCGTAGCGAACACACACAAGCACGAAACACGTTATAATTTATTGGCCCGTAAACTTTGTGTTTTCTTCGAGAAACTTTTGTGTCTATTAAATGATTCATCGGTGGCTGGTACACCGACCCGGTTTTAATTTCCTTTTCCAGTATCGCGCCCAACGATCGTAAATCCGTTTACTGCACGGCCATGCAGTACGCCACCAAGGACGAACGCAGATTTATGTTGAGCAAATACGACAGTTCCAAATGGACGCCGGACCGGAAATCAATAGCGAAAAGTTTTGCGTGTTCGAATAACGAACGTTTCTTGCAAAAGTAATGATGATTCGGTTCGGTCGGATGACGGCGCGGCGCGTTATCGAGGAACATTTGCGAACCGTGTGAATGTTACAGGCTGCTGTCGGTGGCGGAGATCAAATTCGACGACCTGACCGACATTTGGCAATCGATGTTGGACAACCCGACGGCCGGCCCGTACGCGTTCAATTACCTGCGTAACAACTGGGAGACGTTGTACGAAGAGTAAGTGCGATCGGAAAACGATAACCAAATAACTGTTGTCGATAACGGTCCGTGTCGGGAGTCACGTAACACTTGGTGGTGGTTAGACCGCGTGCGCACCCGGGTAGAGCTGCGATATAGATCGCAGTATAGACGTGATCCAGCTCGATGTATGATCTAACACACGTGTATGAACGTTTGTCGCGCAGGTATTCAAAGAGCGACGTCCCGTTGCTGTGCAAGGCGATGCACGCTGCGATCCGAGGCCTGAACAGCTTAGCCGATCTAGAGATGCTGGCGAGCTTCGTTGACAAACACTTCGGTGACGGTGTGGAGAACCGGAACACCGCGTTGCTGGACGTGGTGCACTTCGAGGAGGAGGTGCTGAGGCAGAAGATCACGTGGCGGGAAAAGTACGGGGGTGCGATATCCGGCTGGTTGGAACCCAAGTCGAACAAGAACAAACGGCTGCTGTACAGACCGAACCGAGGACTTGATGCGGCCGCTGCTGGTGGGGACCCGGGTGGTTCGGGAGGCGGTGCGGCTGCGGCGGAGACCGATGGATCCAGTGGGGACGCGAAACCCGTAAGCGACAAAGGACCCGTTAAGGCCGAGGGCGAAGTGTCCGTTGTAGGGACGGTCGGGGCCGCCGCGGCAGTTGGTAAAGGAGAACCGACGGCGGACGACCAGAAGACGATCGAAATCGGGAAACCGAGACCGGACGAACGTTCGGAGTCCTCCACGGCCGCCAGTGTAGCACAGAACGAGCCACCTCCGAACGAGCCACCTCCGAACGAGTCGCCCGACGTCGGTGAAAATAAACCTGCGGACGAGAGTGCAAACTTGAACGAGACGATAACGATTGAACGTGCTAAAGAAGATGATGTATTAAATAAAAAATAAAGATGGATTTAAAAATAAACCGGTTCGCTTCAATAAAATATTTATTAATAACCATTGGTTATTTATCGATTTTATAACACTTTGTTTGTAGGTATGGAATTGATAATTATTTTAACACAAATCTTAATGTTATTATAAAGATTTCTATTACGATGATAAAATATATTTTATAAATATAGTAAATAATTTATACGATCAAAAGTTATAATTTCATCATTCCTTTACAAACCCGTTTTCGATTTATAAGACTATACTGTCATCTTAATGAAATTATTATTAAATGTATTTATCAAAATGACTAATATTATGGATATAACGAGCAAGATTTAAGTCGTAACGGTTGTAACAATACATTGTACTCTGTGACTTACAATAGGTCAAATAATAATGGTCTTTAAAACAGAAAAATATTCCATTCATTAATTAATAATAGTAATCTAACATTTATAGTTCTTTTACAATTATTTTTTTTTTAACCCATCGACTTCTGTAAAATACTTTAGTACTTTGAAAAGCATGTGTACGCAATATTCGGCATTGAAAATTTAGTTTAGAAGTGGTAGAAGATGAGCAATTACTCTTTTATCTTTTGCTGTGCTGTATAATTTTATTGTTGTACATGAATCATAATTATTAGTTTAAATTGAAAACAATCATGATGCGTCTAGTATAACATTTTCCGTTAATAATAAAAATAACATAATAAAATAATTACATTAATGATGTATTACAATATGAATGTAGTATTATTAAATTAACAATAACCGTGGAATTATTTGTTTTTTTCCGTGTTCTTCGATCGGTTATTACAGCTACTGCTAGTACTGTTTTTTTGCAATAATGTGCACTGATAATGCGGTTTCCAAGATCCCGTGGGCCGTAGGAAATCGAGATGATCGTACGATTCTTCTGTAAACAAAATGTCAATAGCATTCATGTATTCGAACTTGGCCGGCATCTCGGAACGAAATGTTAGGAATTATGCTATACCAATTGTTTTAAGCATTTAACAAAATGATTTATTCCGGTAAAACATGATACGCTGTTAATACGTAAAACCTACGGTTAGGTAGGTTGAACTTTAAATGTTCTAACTTTCACGAAGGAAAAAAAAAGGATTCTAAAATTTGGAATAGTCAAAAATGTCAGTTACATTTTAATAGCATAAATTTCGTTCAAACAAAACGAAACCATGAAATTTAATTGACTAATAATATAATTTAATCGAAATTCGTTGAAATATCCGAATTTGTCAACATTTCATTTTATAAAATGAATTTAGCTCGTCGAAATCGTATACAAAGACACAAAAATGTAACAAACATTATGTTATATAAATCAATGTTTGTATTATCTATTATAGACCAACAAATTCGTCGTTTCACTGGGAATCTAAAATAATCGCCCCATCAGCAATGAGAAGCCACGTGTGAACATTTATTTTCATAGGTACTTTTTTTTTTGATCTACGTAAAGTTATCGCGACATACATTTTGAATCCGATACCTTGTAGAAGAGTTATGTAGTTATGAGTTAACTCATGTACAATCATGAAATGATACCGAGTACGAGTTCAAAATAAACGTACCAATCATTACGTGTTATTGGAAAGAGTTTTTGCTATCATATCTAATCGCAACTAACCATCCAACGGTTTCCACTCGTGAAACAATATCGTTAAATATAATCCGAGTTATTTAAATGTTCACTGAAATAAGGGAATGATTACACGTTAAATTGGTATAACATTAATCTACCATAACCTATACTTGCAAACATAACCATGCACAGACATTACTGGCAGGGTAGTCATACATAACACATTTACATTTAACATCGACAACAAATTTGGATGGGGTAGCTTCATTTAACATGATAATTATGTTTTTCCAATATTTTTATACGTGTATTTGCCGTTTACGGACGTTTCGAAGTGTCCGGTCATAATATGGTTGTTTACTATCGCGATAATATTGAATATTTTGGTGAGGGAAGGAAGGTTCACAGAGTAGTAAAGTGCCTACCCCGTAGTCAGATCTCGTGCGCACGCTTATGTCCGCAAAACTTTCGGACGTTCTTTTCGGAGATTTCTATCATGCCACGTTTATTACACAAATCCGTTACGAATACGCAACATATCGTGTAAAACAAAATTATCGTTAAAAACCGTATTGTTGTGCTACTCCACACCGAACACTCGATAAAAAAACGTGTTTGCTGCGGAAACGTTTCGAAAGGCGAAACGTCTAAAACGTAACGTCGCACCATTACCGCAGGAAACACGTGAAACCGTACCCGCGGCGCGTTCCACAACGCTCTCGTCGATCTCCAAGTACAAGTTCTCGCCGCCGGTACCGTAAGAATCGAACCGTTCGCGATGCCCGTACTCCGCGTGGATCAAATCTTTCGCGAACGGCTGCTTCGGGTCCCACGGTCGGACGCCGCTCGTCTGGTCGCTGATCACCGCGATGTCAGCGTTTCGGCCCGCGCCCAAGACGATGGGGTCTCGCGACTGGTAGAAACCGTATTTCTTCGCCTGGTCCTCGGGTTCTTCCACTAGCACTGTGTATCAACAACGATTCAAACTGATTTTAGTGTTCATGAAAACGTCGGTTTCCGTAAAACAACGTTTGCATGGATTCGAATACACAACACAAAGAAACAGCATTCGATGAATAAAATGAAAAAAAAAAAGTAAAAAGTACGTTTAAAGTACGTCTGCGGATGTCCGTACGGTAGTCGCACACATAGACTCACTACGTCCCTTATGGTTCCAGTAAACGTTTAGTCTTAAATCTATCACGTACCTTGCATTGAATGACGGTTTAAGTAAAAGTAGTAGCTCGGAAGTCCTAAGAACAACAGCAATATAATTACTATCGACAACGTTAAAACGTCTAAAATAAACGATATTTTGAAAATCCAAATTTTCTGCTCGTTGTTCGTTTTCAACTGAAGCCCAGTGATTCCTCCATAAAATTATCATGAAACAGACAAATAATATTTACAATAAATTGGATGTATTGTGTGTAATAATACGATTTATATATATTAACAAATATTATTTTATTTTACTTTTACTTTTGTTATAAATGAAAAAATAATTATTTTAAATTACGAAAAATAAATTAAATCATTAAAAACTTTACAGATATTCATGTATAATTATCAATAGACTTAATTTTAGTCTTTTTAATTCTTCGGAGTTTTAAAGATAATTCATGAAAACCAGACTTTCAATAATATCACCAAAAATTAATTATAGTAATTTAAGTTTTGATTACATTTTTTGATGCAATGTATCTACGATGTATGGTCGGATGGTAAACAAATTCGTATAAAAAACATTTCTTAAAACCCAGTGTAAATTAAATTAAAAATTAATAAAAATAATTAGGTACTATAGATTACAATAGGCATAATAAATTACAGTTTTCACATTATAATTGCATTATTTTTGTATATTATCAATTAATGTGATAAAATTATTTACTTGTGATATTAGCGTTGAAGATACATCCATGTATAGGATCACAAATTTCTATGGTCTTATTGCAGTTGCACTTGTTCAAACACATATCTCCGTAGTAGTTATGAGGACAAGCTATATTTAGGAACACAAAAGATACAAATTAATTCAAATTAATGCAGCGAAGGATATACAAATTATATAATATATGATGATATCAAAAGAAACTTTTAGTTTTGAAAATAAAAACAAAAGTTTTTAGTTGTCAAATTACCCGCATCAACATTATTATTTAATAAATATTCAAACATTTTAAACCATGTATGCGCTTATGACGTATCGATTTTACGCTTTCTATCGATTATAGAAAAAAAATCGAATCACTGCGAATCGTAACATTACATATGCCAGTAAACAATGAAAAGTTATTATAGTAAAAACGTATTCTACAGTAAATCACACACGACGGTACGCAATTTTTTAATATTCGTACATTTCCGTTGTATACTTTTAACGACATAAATATTGTGTTGATTCGCGCACAACGATCTGTACTAAAATCTTCAGACGGGAGTAACCAAAGGGTTGTGGTAATACTGTCCACGCCTAAATTAATATAAGAATATTTTTATTTATTTTTTTAATCACCCAAGCAAGTAAACGAATCTCTTGTTTACGTATTGTGCGTAGAAAATGATACATAGCAAAACAACAACAACAAACGGCTCGTTCGATGGAGAGAGTTTAACTTTAAAGCGTGTTGAGGCTAGATGCACGTTAGAGAAATTTGATGAATGAAAACAAATAATTACCAGGCGTGAATCGTTGAAGGAATTAATTCCGTGACAAACACTATACAGTCCGTTAACATAACGCAAATTACATAAAATAATAATATCTTTCTGAAAATTAAAAATATGAGGTGTTAAAATGTTCAGAAAATAAATCCACTTAATTTGCATTCTATCTTAAAACTGTATTAAAAGTTTTTTATTTATAATTTTGTAACAAGATAATTAGATATAAGAATATGGGCTACGAGAAAAAAGAAAAAAGAAAATTTGATGACATTCATTACACAAGAAATATTAAATCCTGCATATAAATTCATTAACCGAAATTGGACGAGGTTTGGTGGTTTACAGCAGCCTTCTTTTCTGGTACTGGTAATTATTTATTTATTTTTATTTTTAAATTTCAATACCGAGTACTGAGTATGAAACGAGAACCGAAAAGCTATGTGCGTAGTACAAGTATTTCTGGTTCCGCGAAAACTGTACCACACCACTCATGCCCCATCAGGTTAGCCTAACCTAACCTAACCTAGCCCTAGTAGTCATGGATGTCAAATATCTCAAAGACTGTCACCAGCCCGTCGCTTTTGACGTTTGCCCGTTCAACGCGTTCGGCGTCAAAATATAAATTCTACTCCGCCCCAGTCGCTTCTAGCACACATGTGGTCCCTTTACTTCGAGTCGATCCCTCGCCTTAATCATTATTTCTTGCAGTTCACCACTGCATATATATATTATTATTATTTTTGCTTTTCAAAGACTCGCCAAGTTACAACGAAATATATTACAATACAGACGTATTCGGTTCGGGTTGAATGCTGGAAGGTGAACCGGAAAAGAAAAACTTCATATACCCCGGTTCTCTCCTCAATTTTTTTAATTGCATAACTTAAGAAATTTTGATTTATAGTTTAATGGTTTTCAGATAACGGAGCATAATTTTACAATATTTAAATTTAACAATGACATTTATTGCTTAACAATCACTAATTATTTTTACAAATTTGATTTTTTAAATCGCGTTACTAAATATTTTTTAAACGCAAACCAGATATTGAAACAAAATTACAGCCATGGTTACAAGAATCGCTACTTATTACGTCGAGTTAACCGTGAAAGTATAGCGATTAAAAATCATAATCAAATAAGACATAATGAGATTTCTAAAAAGAGTTTTTAGTGTTTCACCGGATTAGACGACGACCCTGTATCCATAGCCGCTACCGGATTCGTCACTGCAGCCCCGATGGCCGAATTTTATGATTTCTGTCACCAATATTACAACGAATACGTTTATTTCATAAAAACATATTATTTTCGTCGTACAAAGTATTCGTTAACGATCAATGTCACGCGCGCAAGTACGCATTAGGTTACACCATTCACGGTCATTCGAACGGATAGGAAAATTAAACAACGTCGTTCCTCCGTCTGATGTGAAATCGTACGCACCCGTGTTATACAACGTTTCTGAATATTTTGACAGTAGAATACATTTTCACAAGACGTGTCGAGGAGAGGAAAAATGATTTCTTCTCGTTGTCACCGTAGAAAATCATTATTTTCATGATGTATTGCATCGTCGTTAAAAATTTACTTTTATTTGTTTACCTATTTGCAGTACTGCGCAGTATCCGGCACGAGTGCATAACACAGAGCACGTCTCGAATACAAAATTACGAATCGTCTCTAACGAATTCCGGAAAACTTTCAACCGTAATCTATTATATTATTACACGAGTGCACGTTAGAGATTTCCCGGTTTTTGCACAATGATGAATTCGAAGAAAATTAATTATTTCGTATATTCGTTAAACAAATTGCGTATTTTAAGCTTCCGATAAAATTATTTGTTTGCTTTTGGCATGTTTTGACTAACAACATTGTCCATTTAAAACTAAAAGCCTTTTATTTCAAAACTGCGTAAACGAAAAAATAATAGTAATAATAAAGAACGAGTGTCACAACGAATTGTGTTCCCTGGCATTGTTTATTCCTGCAATAAAAACGAACACATTACACTTTTATGCATAATACACCTATACATCTAGTCACCAACAGATCATTTACTTTTAAAGAAAGCCATGGTTTAAAATAAATTTATTTTAAAAAAAAGTAAAACTACCTTCTGGCAAAATTTTACATCAAAAATTAATAACCATACACGTTAATCTACTCTATGAAATAAAATCAAAGCGTTCAAATGAACGAAGTACCACCAAATTATCAAAACACTACACTATGAACATGAAAATAACGAAGTTCAATCATCATCCCCTTATAATGTAGCCCAAACATTTTCAAGCCAACAATAGTAACTCAAACTTTAAAAATAATGTTCTCATACACAAAAATCATAAAGATAAAACTTTTAATATAAATACATGTATTTGCTAAAATAACTATGAATACAATCTCCCCCTCACAATCAAAGAGCTATATTTCGAGCTAATAAATTGTATCAACAAAATCTGATGATACTCAATATATTTTTATCAAAAATCTTTCTGAATACGCACTTAACAAACTCCCTATGCTCTTTTAACGAAATTCGAACTGGAAGAAAATGTTTTAATAAATTATGACAAGTTATATTTATACCAATTCTAAAGGTCGAAAAAACATATTTTATATCACCAACGACCGACCATTATCCTTCACTTGCACACTCTGTAAACTGTTTTGAAAAATTGTAAACAAAAGCCTATTTTAGTATCTAGAAAAGTTTTATACACTTATCAAACAACAATATGGCTTACGTCGCAATCATCTATACATGATATCCTTACTACTCTTCATACCAACATGAATGATTCGATTAAATTGAAACAACATATCACTCTTATCGCCCTTGAATTTGTGACTTGGAAAAAGCATAAGACATGACCGGGAAAAAAATCATTGACAATCTGTCCAGTCGGTCCGTAGATGGTGATATGTCAAAAAATTCCTTCACAATTTTCTTAACAATCGTTTAATTAAAGTTAACAACGTTCTTTCCAACTATATATAATTTGTTAGTGACTATATTATCTTTTGTAGTGGTATCGACCACTAGATGTGGCCCATTTATATAATTCTATAAGCGCATTAATAAAGCTAAAATTTATTAATTAATAGCACATTAATAAATAAATAAATAAATAAAGCTCTCAAAATCTGGTTTTAAATTTTCACCATCCAATAATAATTATATATTCTTAATAAGAATAAAAAATAATACACTCATACTACCACATATTTACAAAAATAATATCCCAACGATATACTTGTACTCAGATAACATTCATATAGTAGGAATGACATTCGACAGTAGATTTTCGTGGTCACTACACCTTAAAAATGTATAGATAAACTGTCATACCAAAATTAAAATCATAAAAATTCTCTCCTACCATACACGGGTAGGTAACTGAAAAAAAACAATTTATTATTAATTTACAAAGAACTAATACTATCAAACATAAAGTATGGCTATATAATCTATAATTCAGCCAAACTAAACATAAAACAAATTCTGAACCCGATTCATAACCAAGTAATTCGTTTAGTTATAGGAGCTTTATATAAAACTCTTTAAACAGTATTCTATGAATCTTCAAAGTAATACAGAAACTCAGTTTTCGTCGTTAACGGAACTAAATTTTAAAATTATCTACTCAATTAAAAAAACTAGAAATTAAACTGATTAAAACCAGCTATAAAAACTATGAAAAAATACATACGAAAAAAGAAGAAAACAAGAGCCAATTCATCTCCATTTTCACAATTCCGTTTCAGCTACATCTACATAAAGTTCATTCTCAGCTATCACAAATTAATAAAACTCCACTCCCACTGCACTATTGTTTCAAGTTTTAATGAAATTATAAGTTCAAATTTAGTAGTTTTGAACTAATTTTCATTGACGCATCCAAAAATACAAACGTATCTTTCAGCAAAAATCTTTATCATAAAAAAAAACAATTATCTACGCTGAATCCATCCCTACAAACAAATCACTTATCACAAGTGAATCACTTAGTGCTTTAACTTTTCTACTAATAGCCAGTCAAACATACACAATTTTCCCATAAATACTCCTCAACATTACAGCCAATTCAAAAAATATCATCAAGTTTATGTGGATCCTTTCACCCACTGGTATTCTTTGTAATAAAGAAACCTACCTATTATTAAACCAAGTTATATCATACTCTGGAAAAACTAAAACAAAAACACTACTGTACAAAGATTATTAAAAATAATCGACCAAACCTCTAATAGAAGGTGTATACAGTAGTGGCAATATCAATAAAACAACATAACAAACAACAAATTAAATAGTATTATAAAAACCGTTCAAAAATAACGATCCTTTACCAACAAAAATGCTGAAGTAAACATTATTACCACTAGAACTAGTATAGGCCATACTCATCTTACCCACTTACTTCTTCAACTGTGAGGAATGGCCAATCTATAAACAATGTGATACACTATTCATATTTGAATATATCATAATCCAATGATCTAATTACGGTAAACTTAACATTTTAAATCACATGAAAACAACTAGAAGGAAGCACTAAATAAAACACAGATTCCATTAAACTTATAAACATATTGTAATAATGAATTAAGTAAACAAGTAAGTATTCATTATTAAGTAATCATTTGTAATAACTTTAATGTCGAAGCCTTCTCTTCAATAAAAAAAAAAAAATATAGAAAAACTCCATAACAAATAATATTTTATTTTTTGTAACCACGATAAAAAAAAAAAACACATTATCTACAATAAAAAGCAAAGAAAAGAGATTATTTATTAGTGTTATGTTTATGTATGTCTTGAAGACCCACAAATAGTACTTTAAAATATGGACGATGACTATATTTTACTATTGATTGATGATAGATAGATGTTACGGATAAAGATGATTTAAAGTATACTGTATGGCATCATTTGTTGAGCATTATATTTACTGTATTTACTTATTTTTGACGATAATAATTCATCTTAGGGGTTGGAAACCTTTTTATTCTATTATATCGTTCATCAGTTCGTCATTAAAAGAGAGAAGGGTATCACAACAAAATAAATACGAGATTAATAATAAAATAAATGGTCACATTTAACACTTATATTTTTAATAAATCAAAAATAAGTAATCTAGTATTGTGTTCAGTGTAATGTATTCACGGAATATTGAAAATAAAACGCCTTAAGAACAAAATTAATCAAAGGTTTCAATACGAATTTTGGTATTTATTATAATATTGTTAGCGTTGGAAAAACTTATTTATAATTTCGACGAATTTTCTTTTACTCTAATGTAATAAGTAATTTCAAGTACGAGTAATATTGAGTGAAGTTTTTTCTCATGTTTAATTATAACTCGTCTGTTTAAAAATGCAATTCCTTAATCGGCAACAACGTGTGAGAAAGTAAATTGATGTAATGTATTTGTGATTAAAATGTTAAAAACTTACGACTACAATGTTTTCATTAAACGTCTGGTGCAATTATCGAGTTAGCATTCAACGGTTGATCAAAATTTTAATAAAAAATCACTTCTTATTCCAGTCCATAAAAATATTGGAAATTTAACTAATAAGTTTAATTAACATGCAATTATCTAAAATATTTAGTTAATGGGCACATTCAATTGTAATAAGGTTACATGTAGTATTAAAATTATTATTGTAAGAAGAATTGTGATTGTACATTTTAATATAAGACATATACATATATTTATTTTATATTTTATTACAAACTTTAGTCCATGAAATGTTATTATTAGTCTATAGTTCAATAATATGTCTATTAAAACAAAAGTTTTACAAACTCTTAAATGGTCTAAAAGTAGTCAGTTAGTGATTTCAATCAACCTGTTTAAGTTACAACAAAGAGTAATATATACAACCACTGCAAACGACAAATGATATAACTACCATTATTTAAACGAGTTTTGTTATGATAAAAATGTCACTATATTTTTTCCGTAAATGTTGAGTTTTTGCGGAACAGCCGAGGAAAATTATAAAAACATTTATTTTACCATCGCACACGATATCTTTTGGTATTTCGCGCGATTGCAATTAGCAAATAAACGCGTAGGTTATATGATCGATAAAACTCTGATCAACACAACTCTCATCTTCATAGTAACGCACGTTTTATCTAGTTATATTTTTGTTATATTTGCTATCGAATCGTGATGAGCGATAGGGCTCGAATAATTATAAAATTGCATATTTTTCGCTATCGATCCGATTTATTACGGACCTGGATACAAAATTAATTCAGGTTTTCTTGAATCATTACTATTTTTTTTTTTTGCACTTTTTTGCATATTTTGCATATTTTAAGTGCATATTTTTGGGATTATAAGAATATAAATGTATATTGCAGTACATTTTCGAACTTTTTTTAAAACAATTTAAATTAACTGGTAAATAAATGATAAGCTAATGATTCGTATAATTGTGTTTATCCCAAATATTCATATTTTTATATTCAAATTTGATCAAATTAGAAAAACTATTACATCACAGCGTAACGCTCGTATTGCAAATTAGTAAATAATATTAAATAAAATATAAGACATAAAAGTAATAATAAATTTTTATTATGATACTAAAATTCATTTTATTCTGCATATTTTGGTATTTTTTTTTATTTTTTTTTTTTTGTAGCTAGAATACATATTTTATATATTTTTATACATGTTTAGAATGCATATATGGAATTTTTTTACGCATTAAATGCATATATGCAACAGTCGTTTTAAATGCATAAACATTCGAGCGCTAGCGATAACATTTACTGATTATAATCAATAACAAACGTTTTATTGTAGTTTTGACAACATTGGGATGTCATGATAAACATGATGATGTTACGGTATCGTTTAATAAAGCGTGTCAACGTTACAACAACGGGCAGATTAAGCGCATTGTTATGGTCGTGTGTAATACGGGCACCAAGATTAAAACTGAAATAAAAAGGTGTCCACTAACCTCTCATACATAAAGTCCCGTAAAATCCTCTTTTGCACAAGCAAACGCCGTCCGATTGACGGCAGTAAGCCCCGTTTCGACATCTACAGGTGTATTTGCAATTAATGCCATACGTGTTCCGTGGACAAGCGGTCTTACAGTCGTATCCGGTGTAACCAGGTTTGCAATAACATTCATCTGTAACGAAAACAGGACATGGAATTAGAGCGTCTAGAGTATTATAGAGTATTCGCATTAATTCACATTAATTATTATTAATCTTATAAACTCGTACGTTAGGTCGAATTCGTGAACTCGGCGTAACGAATACAATTTATTTACTCGTCTTAATGGGTTTCAACGAGAACAGATAAGTAAACGTAAAATAATATATGCTAAGTAAGTTCCAAAGATTGGTATTTTTCAAACAGGATTAGATTCACATATATACACATATATACCGTACGACCACTCATACTTGTAAACTATCGTCGTTATCATAATGCCACAACTAAATTATCGATATTAAGCGTTCAAAAGAAATGTTCATAGCACCAGTTGGTTGTCTTATTTTTTCCGTCCTAACGATTGCTTCACGTTACACTTTCAAACATAAATAAAACTACAACTAACACCGAAGTTCTAGCTGCAACCAATCGTCATAATATGACGATTATTATGACGTCATATTATGTTCGATTGCTCAGGACTATCTTTTATTTTATTTTTTTCGGCCACGATCCTATGATGGCCAACTGATATCGAGTGACTCTTAAACGACAAACACTATACGCAATTCAGATTTACCTCTTATGTGTCTCTTGATCAGAGATGCCCGGATGGGGGGGGGGGGGGGGGGGGGCCATTGCCCCCCCTGAGATTTTCGCGTCCCTTACAAAATTGGAAGTTATTTTACATAAAGCTGATCTTGGGTATTCAGTGACTATTCGACAATCCTTGTATCTAACAAGTATCTAACATTTTTTTTTAATCAACAAATGATGATTCAATTAATTTATTTGCTTCAAACAAAAGGAGATTGTCATTACTTTTTGAATAAAATAATAAAATATGATGAGAATTCAATCAAATAAAGTTGTTTTTTGTTTAAACTTTATTATATTTTTTCTTATAAATATTAAAACTAATAACTAATAATGTAATTTTATATAAGCTTAAATGAGTTTTGATTTTTAAAAAATTATTAATGATAGTAATACAAAATATGAGTAGATAAAATATGTAGCAGTAAATCTTCCTATAAGTATTTAGGTACTTAACATACAATTTTTTTGCCCCCCCCCCCCCCCGAGCTACATTTCTGTGGGCGTCCCTGCTCTTGACTGATGTATACTCGTAATGTCTCACCTGTAAGTAAATTATTATTTCACACAGACCACCCTCATAACGTATAAAGTATAAAGTTACGGTGGTCTTTTCACGACGTCAATAGCATAGCCTCATGTCTGCGCACAAAAATTTCGTTTCGACAAAATGATTTCATTAGAATATTCGGAAACGTGTATTAATTTCTTCGAACACATATATTATAAATATACATATCATTATAATTTATGCGGATTCGCGGGTATCTCGCTACATTATTCTTATTTCGTATGTCGCGTATAATACATTATAAATAGGCTAAGATTATAAATATAAATTCTTCGGTTGCATTCACGCTCTGGAAGCAAGATTTTGTTTCCTCGCACGAGAATAATAATTTTCGTAATATTAAAGCGTGCCGGAATAATTCATTACTAACCCACATTATCCCACCTGTCACCCCACAGAAAGCCGAAACACGTACTATATTAATGCATAATATATTACTAACCTCCGATAGTATGTTTGCATTTGCATTTGCCAGTTGACGGATCGCAGGAGTAGGCTTTGTACCAATTACAATTGCAGTTTTTCGCAGGATTTTCCAAATATGTTGTCGAATTATTTATGACTACATTCTGGGTGCAGTTTTTTACATTGTCAACTCCTTCCGGACATTCACATGATCCTTTAACAAATATAACAATATATCACGTTAACGGAAAAAATCATACATGGTAAACAATAGAAAAAACAAAATGTATTTTCGTATCGATTTTGTGTTTTATAATAATAAAATTAATTTAATCATTTGTCACCTATATAAAAATAATGTCCTATAAAAATGATATCGAAATATTTGTGTATTTTCCTTAATGAAATTTTAATAATTTAATTTTATATGAGATTACAACATACCATTTACTGAGTTGCATACGGTACCGTCTTTACAGTTACATTTATAAAAACAATGATAACCATAAAATCCTGTTGGACAAGGATACGAGCAATATTGTCCAAAAAATCCAGGTTGACAAAAGCACATGCCTAGAAAAAAAAAATATTATGACGATTTTATTTTGCCTATACTACGTAAAAATATCAAATATGAAAAAATGTAAATGCTACACGAAATGAAAAATAGTAATTTTGAATATTATTAAAAGTAATTTCACCATTTACTGGGTCGCATGCTGCATTATTTTGACATTTGCATGTATTTTGACATTTATAGCCATAATAACCCGTTGGACAGTACAACTCGCAATTTACTCCGGTGAATCCTGGTTGACAAAAACAAGTTCCTGGAAAATAACTACATAAGATTATCGGGTTTCAAAATTAATAATACATTAATATTGGGTAATATGAAGTACAATAATGATACCTCTACCGTTATACGTTCTATATAAACAAATTTTATCCCTATTAATTCCACGTTAAATTTAAATGAAACGATACGACACTCGATCAATAAGTAACGAACGAACATTTCGGTTATGTCAGCTTTATAGAATAATTATCATTCATTAATTATATTCAATAATTTTTATTGCACATAAATCCAGGCTTTAGTAACAATATTATACTTGTTTTATATTTTTGACGTACAAACGACTACGTTTAAATTTCACGTTCAAACGGCCTTACTCGCATATTTTACTGTCAAGAGTCATCGGTTTCGTGGACGATGGATAACTTACATTCCTATTTGTATTTTGAAATTTTGTGGAAAATGATCGGTTTCAACTCAATGCTGTGCTAATATTATATGTATTACATATTTTCACTTTACATTTTTACGAAAAATAATATCACGATTACGGAATCTTCTAAAACTGGCATTTTTCAACCTATGGTTCTAATAGCTAATAGGTGGCACGAAAAGAAAATTTCACTCGCCATACATATGAATAATACATACATTTTTCGATGAACGAAAAAAAAAGTTGTGAACATCTTCAAAATGTGCAGGTGACAGGTACTCCTCAGGTATAAAAAGATTGAGAACCGATTAGTAGAACCCAACTTGCACCGATATTTTCTAGAGAGATTCGGTTAGAAAACCTCGAGAAATAAAAATTAAAATACTCTTACACGGATTTTAATATATATCACTCACCACTTTCCGGATCGCATACACCGCCATTTTCACAAGCACATACTTTTTCACAGTTAATACCATAAAATCCGGCTAAACAATAAGGTTTAACAGTGCGAACTTCGTGAAATCTATTTCTAGTCATGACTAAGCAACTTCCTGAAAAATACGTCCACGGATGTTAATGTTTTTCGTGTTTATAGTATTTATTTTAAAGATGAACATAATCAATAATTAACATAAACTAATATGTAAATATAAAATAAGTGTATACGTATACCGTTAATGGGATCGCACATTTCATTATTTTGACAGTTGCATTTGTTTTGGCACTTTTGACCGTATAAGTCTGGTGGACATAATATATTGCATGATCTTCCAATGAATCCCGGTGCACAGAAACAGTTACCTAAGCAAAAGACGAACGATTACCTAAGGTTAATAATTGTAAATGGTTTCCATACAATTCACTAATGCGCCACTACGGTCAGTGATAATCATATGTATTAATTATGTAATTACATAATAAACGTAAGAACTATTGAAATAAGTAATTTTTATTTCGTCCACCTCACAGAATATTATAATAAAATTGTCTTGAAATCGATGGAATTGCGAAACTCATTCTAAATTAAACTGTTCTTATCTGACTTAATGAATTCGATACGCAAAGCAATTATATCGAATAATTCGCTCATTATGATAGATATAATATTAACCATGCGTAATAATATTATTAGACATATTACATTAAAGCAATAAATAACTTCATACCGGTTATGACAACGAATACGTATTTTAATAGACCAGATTGTGCGGCTTTAATAGTAATATTCTATTTTTATTTTAGTTTTTTCTATACTATTGTCATTGACACCCATACCTTCGAGTGGATCACAGACCCCGTTTTGACAGTGACAGTTCTCTGAACAATCAATTCCGTATTTTCCAGGTGGACACTCTAAAATCGAATAACAAATTATTACGATTAAGCCACGTGTACTATTGTGTTATAATCGTAGTCTGTATACCTACTACGTTTCAATTTACTGATGTTGCAGTACTTTCCCTCGTAATACGAATGGCACTTGCACACTTCTGGTGAGACGCATTCCCCCCATATGCATGGAAATGAACACACCGCCCGGCAGCGTTTACCGTCCGGTGTCGGCTCGTAGCCGTCGCAACATTTTCTCAGCTTTTGAGATTCTTCTAACAACTGTGATGGATATTCAATGTTATTAATGGTATTCTATCGATTAAAGCGCGTTTTAATTTTAAATCAACGGTTTTTTTTTGTCTTTTTAAATTGCGCCCGAAACATGAATAGTCTCGTAATAACCAGTGTCGGCCTGCCTCATGATTAATCCTCCGGCAAAAAAATTACAATGGGCCCTTAAACAACATAATATTGGAGGAGATTCAATAAATACCTACTAAAAATATTGTTTCTCACTACGCTCGAACTCTACTATAAATTTTAATTTATTTTTGTTTTTATATTTTTCGAAAGCCAATATCATCGAATCATCATTGTGTTCGTGTATGGGATCGTTAACAACACTCATCTTCATTTTTCAGAGTATATTTGTTCGATTTTGATCAAGAGAAAAAATATGTATAAACTATAGCGATTATATCTAGTTATATTGAATCACTTCAACGATATTCCAAGAGTAAGATAAGAATAACATAATTTTAATTTAATTCATGAAAATAATTACTATCATTTTTCGTATTAGCATGGTCGTTTTGAGCCCAGAGGATAATTTAAACCGACAGTTAATATTTGTTGATAAAATTGGCCTCTAAAAGACTTTTTATATTTTTTAAGTGTGCCGATTATAAGTTGAAGTTAAAACTTAACTGGAAAATTTCCCAGTTTCCACCTACCCCTATAAATTATGCCACTGGTTAAACGTTTAGTTAAATAAAACATCTCTATGTCAGACTCCATGTAAGATTCCATAAAATAAGATAAATGTTTACGATGATAGTTATGAATAAACTAAAAAAAACAATATTATATGATCATATTTTTTAAAGAATTTTTTAAGTTTTGACACCCAAAAAAAAAAAAAAATGAGTACAGTTTTTATACTTACAAAATATTTTGAATATATACTATAATAATACACGTTTAAAAAGTAAAAAATAAAAAGGCAAGTATATAATATACATAAAATAAATAAATTAATTAATATTTATTATTTATTTTTTTAATTTATGATGTGAATCAAAAAAAAATTGTTTTTTTTTTTTGTTACAAAGAATACATTTATAATTCACTCTCAGGCTCTAATAAGTGGTCTCTTAAAATAGCCTGACCCACAGTTCTCTAACTATGGATCCACCCTTGGTTGGGCCCCTATTTTAAGAATAAACCTCAAAGCCCCCGGTGATTGACGGATATCCGGGTGGGCCAGACTGACACTGATATACGATCGAATACAAAACGTTACGTTTTACCATGTCGTAATTATAAAGAACCTCATATCAATTCTTGAACGAACATTAACATTTAAAAACCTAACGTCAGTAAAACAGTAGGCCGCGGATAATTTTTTATAACAGAACGTACAAATATATATGTATTTATTTACAACATATTGGATCGTTTATATTATACGTACGAACAGTTTCAGTGGCGTATTTACGGGGGGGGATATGGGGGATAGATCCCCCCCTTGACCTTTTTTTTTTTTTCCTAGGTAGCTATAAGTTGTCTCATTTTCTCTAATATTCTTAATATGATATTACTTTCAAGCATGTATGTTTTCTGTTTTCTAAATGTTCTAGTCGTGGTAATTGTATCGCTTTGATAGTCTGATATACTAATCGCCACTAATCGTTTATCGTTGGCGGCATGTACGACTATCAGGCATATACCTATATTATGGTGTACTGTATTTTGTACGTTTCTGCGAATTATTTTTCATGCAAGAGTGTTTATAATAAACCCGATAAGCAATCGGTAAACAAAACAAAATGACCATGAAGATCGTGGATTAACCATAGGGTGGCCGGGCGGGTTTATTTTTAGAAAATTTGTTACTAGTAGATTTATGGCTAATGTATAGCTATATATATATATATTTTATCTTATGATATCGTGATTCGTTAAAAGTAGATATGTACGGTCATTGGACGTTGACGGATAGCGACGCCGCGCCATTCCGAGTACTGACTTACTGCCGAATTGACTATTGTTCGACTTTATTTTTTGCGTCTTATAAGTTGTAACTGTGAAGTTTTAAGACAATATGAGTAATATTCAAAAACAAAAAAAAACTTTATTTTCTTATTTTAGTACAAATAAAAAAATTTGTTTGGAAAATGATGAGGTAATTATAAAGATTAATTCTTATTTTGCCTTGATCCACACTAACCTCAATAGGTAACAAGTTAGGGGATTTTAAAAATGTATATTATGTACGAATTAATGGGTGTTAGGATGTATTATTATATATTTCATCCCCCCCTAGAAAAATTCCTAAATACGCCACTGAACAGTTTGTATTGAAAATATTTATAGTAAGAAATATGTTACGTTTAATAATATCACGTTATGATATTATGGTCGCAATAGGGTAATGGAAATGTAATTTTCTGAATTTAACTCATCGCAACAGTTGTTCATTCAATTTGAAAATTATGAACTTTGATAAATCGAACGAATTCGTCGACATCGATTCCATGACGATGCCACTGAGTACGCCGTACATTCACTCTGGATCACATGAACTTTGTGGGTAAAGTATTTCGAATTTTACAATTGAGATTTATGTGTCAAGCTGTATAGTTCGAGCGCAGACTTCAAACTTATAATCACTGTGTTACAAAATGCATACTAAACGAGTAAGACGTTCTGGGTGGACCATATGGTGTATGAGTACACATTAAATTATAATACTATAAGCCCATGTCGTTTTTTCTAATTGTAAGTCCAGTAGAACGCGAAAACGCATACTCTACGATTATAATTTTCATTTTTAAAGCGAAATATGATTTGTTGCAGTCTTCGCGTGATCGCACATTGCATCTGAGAATTTTATTGTCACTCTCGCCCTGTCGCCGTGTACCGTAGTTCTAATCCCAGCCGATATTAGTGAAATTCAACACTTCCAAGGATATTATCCAACGTAAACTATATAATTTGTTTTACATGTACCACAAAGTTTTCACATTACCGTGTATTGGTTTGGATCAACATCAAAAAGTTACACAAAATCCGCTTGAAGGCGAAATTCAACAACTATATGCAAGCACACGAACATTAAAATCTCACTACGTTCTGAAATTTCGAAGAACGCATAGTTTATTATGCCAATTTAACTTTGTGGTAAAATTACAAGTCAAAAAGGTGAACTACATAAGTTGGTCGGACAGTGAATCGGGGAGGAGGGGGGCACTGAAACAGATGCTTTTAGATATATAGGCAAACTATAAAAACAATCAAATCCAAAAAAACGGCCCTGAGCTCGATTCGCTATTTACTATTGTTTATAAATATTTAGATCACCGAAACTTCTTAAATGAGGTCATCCCTTTGCATTGGTGTACACACCGGTGTAGCAGAAAGTTTATCTGGCACATTTTTTGGGGTCGACTGATTGACATGTGTGCCGCGGCGATGCAAGTTATAACCACTCAGTCACAGTAGGTGGACCGGCCGGGCAAACTCATTATTTATTATAAGTAGATAAAATTAATCTGAACCAATATTGTTATTAGATAATTTGTAAAATATAAAACTATAAATATATAAATATAAAATAGCTATAACATATAAAACATAAAAGTACTCAGTCGAAATTACGAAATTCGTTGAAGATCATTCTTGAATCTACATAGAACCAATAGAAATTATACAGTAAGATGTACTTCGATATTATAAACTGTCTCATTTGTCAATTGTAAATACGTAAATAATTATATTATTTTAGTCACGGTAGTAACAATTACACGACCGTTTAACCAAACATTTTAGAGTCTCAACATTTATTTGGCCGATTGTTAAAAATTAGGACCTTTATTTTGTATTCTGCATAAGTGATTTAAGTCCGCACACACCTATGTCTCTTTGTGTAGATATTTTCACTCCGAGTATTTTAATACCTGCTATACCACTCTTAATCTTACCCCTGACTCCTTATTTCAATATCCTCAAACACATTATGTTGTATACTTCTCGCGCTTACGATTGGGTAACAATTTCTTTCTGGTTCGTTCTCACCCTATTTGTTGATTAATCTATCTGATGTTTGTCACACGATTCTGAATTGGTTATGAAAGTGTTACCAATCACATCACCTTAGATTTTCCTTCTCAAACGTTCCGAACTTTAACTTTATCCTTTCTCGTCATCATGATATCTGTCATCCAATTCATACTGTTTCTGTTTCATTTATTGTTTCTCTCTCGTTGTAAATCTATTAATTATCTTAGATTTTGATGCCTCGGTTTCCAATTCAAATAAAATTATAATATGTAATGGAAATACATAATTATGTGATTAACAGTTGATGTATAATATTGAACAATATATAAAGATTGTTTGATAAAAAAATCGATGTCAATAGTATATACCATAGAATTACTTATTGGTTATTTGTTAATACTCACGGATTAGTATTAATTATTAACAATCGTTACTATCCGTGACTAGTTAGACTCAAATTAAATTTTTTTAATTTTTAAAAAAACAATAGTTACGTAAATTGTATATTTAACAGCTTACTCTTTCTTTATTTACTGGAATTGCACGGTCTGATACATAATAACATTTAAAATTCCAATTTCTAAGACAAAAATATGAGGTTTTTTTCGTATCAATTTCGTACTCCACAACTGTAGTCTTTTCTGTTAGACTGAAAAAAAAAATGTAATTGTATTAAATATATATTTACTTTTAAATTAGTAACACGGTTTGGTGACGTGGGAATTGCATTGAGTGGCTCTGATTCTTAACCTGTTCCGTAGTGTATTTTTTCACTTGCAGTTTACATAGCTTAGACACCCCTCTCCCACACACACATACAGTAGTGTGATGAAAATCAGTGCCGTGCCTAGTATAATCATCACCCGATGCCAAGAATCATTTTTAGAGCCCCCCTCCCTCTATAGCAAATATTTTTATATCTACAGACTGTAGAAACTACATAAGAATAAAGGTTCTGTGTAACTATTTATTTTGTATTTATTAAATGAATAAAAAAAAATAATCAACAGCTAAACAACAATATAAGTAATATACTCGTAACTCAACTCAAACTGTATAGGTAGAGAAAAACATGTACATAACCTATCATACTAAACTGGTATAATTTACTAACAAATCGAATTTTCAATTGCACAAAAAATAACATACCTTTAAATAATTGCCGATGAAATGTATTTAGATACCTACGCATCTAATGCGTTTATGAACTATGATGCAACCACTACCATAGATGCCTTCTATTAGATGTGTTCAAAATAAAATCATACAAATCGTTAAAGTCGACATTCGTTTATATTATTAATGTTGTTAAATTAATTTTGCCAAGTAACAATAATAATAGAGTGTAAATGTCATATTATTGCGTTGATTTGTTATCATCGACGTCATTTAGGGGAAAAATCCCCATAAAAAAAAAATTATAGTAAATACCAATACTAAAAATAAACTTGCAACACCGCCATCAGGACAATGTTAATTATGTCGAGACCCTGGTGTTGAACGTATTAAATTTTATGAATTAAATAATATGGTTAACTTTCAGTACTTAGATACATAGATTATAAAAAAGCTTTTGGTGCTCCAATGGTCATGACGACTGTTGCACACGCATTTCTCACATACCCCTAGACATGACCCTGGTGAAAATATAAAAGCCATGATGCATAACATAAATTTCAGTACCTACCTACTCACTCATTTCTCTAGCAAACCATCCTTAAAATTTTTTCAAAATCATGAATTGAAGAAAACTAAAAACTATTGAAGATTAAAGTACCTACTTAATTATATTTGACCTACTCAAACTTAGGATTAGCAAACTTTAAGAGGCTTTTCACTTTTCTATTTTATACTTATTTTATACTAATTTTGATCTTATTGTCGTGTGTTATTAGTATGACTTATTATACTCGGCACAATACAATATATTCTTATAGACTACCCTCTATTCCACTGCATTCGTGTTTCATGTTGGTGAAATTTTTGAACTTGGAACTGTACTATGTATATTTTTCTAAAATCTTAACACATCTAAATCCAACCACACACTAGTCCATCCAAAAAATGTTCACCATGATGCCTGGATATCATAAAAACCTCTTCACTACATATGGTGAAATTATGAAAAAAAAAATTATAAAAAATTGTCCGACTTTTTCTGCTGAAAATTTATTGATAGCTTCACCATAAGATAATATTTCAGTCAAATCCATTTCAATAGCAATTGTTGATAAATCAGATAATCTTTCTTGAGATACCTAGGGACTACGGTGGTAAGTTTTATTAATTTTAATTTAAAGAACGATCTTTCACCGCCCGCTAAAATAATAGAAATAGTAAGCAAAACTAAAAAAGCTGTATAAATGTTAGGGAATAACGTGTACGATTTTCTAGGAATATTGAGTGTTTGAAGAGCTATTATTTTTACTTCTAAAATATTACGAAACATAAAAATCTCGTCCTTCAGATCGAGATTCAGAATCAACACCTTTTGAGTCACCATAAAAAAGATCAATCTGCAAATCTTGATAATGTCTAAACAATTAAAAATTCTTCAAATTTTTTAACTTTTCTATTCTATACAATAACCCAAAATGATCACTAAATCCAATGTATTAAAAATGTAATCCATGGATTTTCACTTATCGATAAGAACAGTGCGGCAACCAAGAGCGATAAAATCGTCATGATGTATCACGTATTCAGGAGGAGATCAGAGGGTTGTAATCCTCCCCCCCCCCCCCCGAAAATTGATTCATGTTATATCTAAGTGCAGTACTTTTGATAATCGGATAATAACAATAAAACATACAAACAATGATGGGAAAACGAATTCCGGCTTAATCAGTGTGATAAATATATATACACGTGTGATGTGTTGGTTAAATTATATATAGGTATACTATAAATATGAGTCAACGATATATGATTGTTAGGACCCGGAATTATATGCACTAAAAACGTACGAAATATGTATGCATTTATACGATGGTTGTCATTCAAATATGCACTCAAAATATGCAAAAATATGCGAAAATATGCAAACAAAAATGCATTTTTATTATTTATTAAATTTATTTAATTTTAAAATGTATACAATTCATTAAATAATTAATATTCAACAAAAAATATACTTTAAAATATATCAAATATATTTTATATATTTTATTGAACTGTATAGAACTCTATGCTGTATTAAAATTAAATTGTATTTTGAACACTCACTCATCTAAACAAAAAGTCACAAACGAAAATCGATTGAAACAAATCCAGCGGATTTTTATAATATTTTTAAAGTTACCTGGAGAATTACTATCGTATTGGTACTTTTAGCAAACTTTATCTTATCTTATTATAACACAAAAATCAAATTATATAACTGTACGATTCACGGAATTTACGATGGACATGCACTAAGTAATAAATAATAATATTAATAACTTCGTAATATTTTTTTCTATATATACATTATATTTCGAAAAATGCAAATATATACATAATAATTTAAAATGTTCCAAATATGCAAAAACATGCCAAATTTAATTTTGCATACCAACACATTAGATTGAGATTCAAATTTCTATCTTACCTAGCTACTTTTTAGTTTAAAATATAAAAATATGCAAATGCATATAATTCCAGGCCCTAGTAATTGCCAATAATAAACTTGTACTTGGGACTGTATTTATTCACTTCATTATGAGACACTACGGATTCTTTTATAATGAACATTCATAAAGTCTTATCTACTGTTTTGTTACGGGCTGCGGCCAAATTAAATAAAAATTATACATATCTTTCTTAATGCTTTTAATAATTTTGAATCTATGCCTAAGGCACGGACCTGCCTAGACATTCCAAAATTACCAATTACACCGCCCTTGCACTGGCCCTACATGTGATGACTGGTACAGTTAATTAGAGATGTTCCTGGTAGAAAAAACCTGGTTCCGAGTATTAGCATTGATTATAAATAGTATAGATAGCTCACTGCAATACAAAATATTGGAAAAAGGTTATGACTATTATAAGCATGTTACATTTTAAAATACAAATAAGCGATGTAATATTATATTATATAAATTAGCCATATAGTTATCACATATTCACATTAACATATTAATTATTTTAAATACCATATAAATAGGTACTCACATAGATTATAAATAGTATTTAAATAAATACTATTTATAATCAATGGTATTGAAAAATAAAGGGAATATGGATTTACCTATTTATTTTATTGTTTGGCTAATGTGTGTAGTTTTCTCAATGCCCCTCTCGACCACCAAGACCATTGTCGTAGTTTATTTTTGAACGAATTGAAATATTTTGTTACTATTTTTAAGGTATTTAATGTTTGTCTTGGTACAAAATAAATGATTAATACAGCCAACACTCAACAGCCATCGGCTAATGGTTGAATTTGTGTATATTTAATTCGATAACCGTTTACTGCCTTGTGTTTTTTCAAAAAAAAAAATGAGTACAAAAAACTTGTAAATCTACAAAACAACAGTCTAAATTGAGAATACTACAAAACAAATAATTAATTGTAATATATTGTGATACTAAAAAAACAAAATGTTTTAAATGTTTTAATATTTATTTAATTATGTTTTCATGATAATATAAGTATATTTCGAAATAGTAAGTAGTTATGACTAGTTATGAGTATGTAGAATATTAATATTTAAATTCAATTTAAATTAAACTATCAACACACCTTTAATTAAAACTGGTTTCAACGTGCTATTACGTGTGTACAGTGTGTTACGACAGTGACAAAACAATGTGGGTCCTCACTATTTATAACCAATGTCAATACCATTGATTATAAATAGTACTATTTACGTCTCACCGAGGACCGACCGCCGACGTTTAGCAACGATGAAAAATAATATTATTTTATTCCATTATAATTGACAAAATTCCTTATCGCCCTCTATCGGCAAAAGTTTCTTACGCAGCATATTTTGTATTGCAGTGAGCTATCTATACTATTTATAATCAATGGTATTAGCTGAGTAAAAATTTCATTATTAAACCGAGTACCGAGTAAGGGCTGAGTCTTAATTATGACATCGAGTAATCGGCTATCGAATAAATGACAGGTATCCGTAAAATCTCTACAATTAATATAAATTACATGCTTTATCTAAATTCAGTTGATTAAACAAATACGATTTATTAAAAAAAAAAAAAAAAAATGTTTAATATAACTGCAAATGATGAATCAATTAATTCTTGGCCTTTAATTACTTAATCATGAAATATAACTCTCTGAAGTTTTAGTTTTTCAATATATAAACCATCTTTGTAAAATTTACAAATTATTCATGGTGATATTTTTATATCAATTAAAAACATTGTACATTCCATAAAAATGATCGAACTTTATATTTAAATCTTAGTTGTAAGTCAGAAAGTAAATGATCAATGATTTCTTAATATATTCGATCAAATTTACTTTTAGGTGAAAATGCCAAAACTCATAAATCAATATACAAATATATAGGTATATAAAAACGAATCCCTTTTTCCCTTGGTCACGCCACCACGCATGAACGGCTGGACTGATTTCGCTAATTCTTTTTTTGTTGTATTATTTTTAGGAAAAGGTTCTTATGAAAGAAAATATTAAGAAAATTGCGCGAAAAATTAGAAAATTTAAGAATACTTAACCAATACATAAAATTAATTCTAATCTAACCTTAGCGCTTTGAACAATATAAACTTTTTTAATGTAATCTTTTGGCATTTGACACAGAATTTACAAAATACGTGCAACGCGAAGCGCGGAATGAAGTTGAACGGAATCGAAATCAACAACATAGAAATGTTGCGTTCAACCACTAGCGAACTACATTCAACTATAAAATAGAAAACCGACAGAAACGACAGTTCTGAAGAAGTATTTTTCATAATCAGCAATTAAAAATCGGATCAGTTATCATTATTATGCAGAATATAAAGCAGCCACGTCTTTGTAATGGCACCCGGCGAAGAAACTAATGAACAACGTCATCGAAGCCACAATTTCGAAAAGGAAGTACAGAGATGAAGACGTTTTGATTCCACGGATTCCTTTGATTCCGAACGACATGCCATTCGACTTTAAACGGTTGCAATTTGCAATGTCGATAAATAAATCTCAAAGGCAGTCGTTTAGTGTTTGTAGCATCAATCTTGAAAATCCATGTTTTTCACGTGGTCGGTTATATGTCGCTTGTTCCCGGGTCGGAATACCAACAAGAGTAGTTATATACGCGCGAGAAAAAATACTAAGAATGTTGTTTATCATAAAGCATTAGAACAATAAACACTTTTTTTTTTATGAACTATACCGATTCGAGTTCAATATTCGTAAGCAACACAGGACGACGTCTGTTGGGTCAGCTAGTGCTAAATAATTATCCGATAATTGTTGCACACATAAGCGAGAAACCATTTTTTCGTTTCACCTTCGTTATGATCGAAGTAAAGGGGCGATTGCCCCTATCGCCCCGTAAAGTCTTCGCCTATGCACGCGCACCATTGATTAGGGACCGTTGTGTCTAGGGTCAACGGGGATCATTAATTCGCACACTAATTCGCCCGTACACGTGCACCGTATTAGAAATATGTGACTTACACCTGCACGGTGGTGCACACGTGAGGTCCGACGAGTTCGACGCCGTTGATGGACGAGCCCGACAGTTGGACGATCGTCGCGGCGATCGCGAGCACCACCATCAAATGTCTTCGGGCCATTGTCGACTGGATGAGAACACAGACTTCACGGCGACGGTTGCGCCGCGCACGTTTCCACCATCGGGTGCGAAGATGATTGCGGAATTCGTGTTTTTCCGTTCGTTATTATCCGTCTTGTTCTTCTGCTCCTCCTCCTCGATCGCTGCCGACGAACTAACCCTTTTCGTGCGCTGTCGAACCCGGTTCAGGAATAACGACGCGGCGGAAACGAAACGACGCGAGTAACTGTGTCACGTTCCGATGCGCGCGTCGTCGTCGTCGTCACAACTATAGGCAACGTGCTTGAACCGTGGACAGGTGGGTAGGAAGGGGTCGAGTGGACCAGTGAGTTGTTCGTCGGCTGTGGCGAGTACACGCAATTCCGACAATTATATTTAGTAGAGTTTCCCGACCGACAAAACGAAGAAGGGAGAATACGTCCCTGGGAAATCTTTTTGGAATCGCATGAGGATAGTAAACTAACGGTGAAATAACGAGAATTGTATTTTCTTTTTTTTTTTAATTCAATTTGTAAACGTACGATTGAAAAAAAAATGTAATAAATACATTTGATGAATTAAAAATTAAAACGAATCGTTACACGATTTCGTACCGCTGTCTACCGGATGTTGATAATATAATAATATTATACCTATTAGCGGTTAATGTACAGATAAAGTTATCTGGCGTTTGTTAAATGTTTATTATTGCTATTATTTAAATAAAAAAAAAAAAAAAAAAAAACGTTATTTATTAAGCTCTGTAGAAGAATGTAAGAGATTTAAGGAAATCTACTAGGAAAGCGCGGAATAAAAAATGGATTGGAAACATTGACATAATTGTATCATATATCATACATAATTAAATAATAAATATAATGTAGGTATAATGGAACACGATTACATTATGTTATAAATTCATAGTATTAATTTATTGGTAAAATAAGAGCCAACTGTCGTCAATATTCAAGACAACGTATCGCATTCACGTTTATTTTAAAAACGTAAAAAAATTTAATTAGCAAACACGCCACGTGGATCAAAATATCAACGCTGTCGATAAAAAATATAATTATACTAGCTATTTGAATAATTGATTTGAACTTCGCGGATCACGTGTACATATTATGTACGCATATATAATATTATAAATATAACGAATACGGTTTTAAAATTTAATATTTATACGAACATTTTCAAATAGACTAGTATAGTACGTCAAACGTCGCAATACTTACTCGAATAATTATAATTTTTTCGTAAGAAACATCGAACTTGAGAACTTTATCACTATGTTTCACTGTATCATTCGTTTTTATGTTTTCGACTTTGTTTACGTAGTTGAAACATTTATCGCAATTCGTAAATTATACAAACCCACTGCGAAACGTATTGAATTATTCTGCACTGCAATTTTCTCGTAAACACTTCGAAACCATCAAATTGTCTTAAGCAAAACCCTTTTTCACTCGCCGACTGTATAGTTTTGTCCCGCGAAATCCTCGGAATAAAAGCGTGTCGTTACACATTTTGATGAATACGGAATATTCATTAAAAGCTTGATTCTCTGTTCGGTTAAACAATACTTACAAAAATAAAACTAATATTTCCCACGAAGGAAAACGTATTCGAATTTGCGATTCGAATGATCATCAATGACAGTGTTATGACCGACCACGTATGTTATTGCGCAATCAAATGTAAATTAAAATATTTTTAAAACTACAACAATTATGGTCCTCACTTATACATAATATAATTCGATAGCAGTTGTAGTGCAGTAATTAAATGGATAACGCAGTAAAAATAAATCAAAATCGAAGATAGATATTGGTTAACTATCAACCGTTTGACATATTACAATCGCGTTGCAACAGTATCAATATGTTTATGCGACAAGAAACTAAATTGTCACGGGAGTAAGTGTGCTATAAAACTTGTCATATTTCATTCGCGGCACGCGTCTCGGTAATGTTTTCAATAAATGTTCATTTAATTCGAAATATTCTTTCTCCGCGGATACCGTGTAGTATTCTATAATACTCGTATAATGATTACGTTTGAAATATGCAAAGAACTCAAAAACGTGAACTTTTATTAAAACTATACCAAATACATCCGAAATGAAACCAAATATCAACGTTTACCAGAAATATTTTTCTTCCTTATTACGTTTGAACTATTCATTTTCGTATTTAAAATTTAAAACATCGGTTAACATAAATCATTTGAAACAAGATAACAGAACGAATAATTAAAATCACAATTATATATTTAAAAAATATTTCTACATATTTAATTGCATTAGTACCTAATGATTAATAATAAACGGTCGACGATTAATGATGGTTATTTTGTTTTTCCATTCGTTTTTTATTTTTTATTCTTAATTAAAAATGGTTAATAATTTAAAATTACATTAATTATTACTTTTTTTTTTTTGTGCAATTTCCAAATAACTCCGTGATTCATGCGCCATACGATGTGTACCTATACAATTTTATGCTGAAATACCTAGTACATAGACGCGTTTAACGAAAGTTTTTAGATCTAATGATATTTACATGGGACTTTTATCAAACAATAATAATTGTATACAGAATACGTTTCTGTTTGACAATACGTCATATTTCAAAACGCGATGCGATTTAAATCAAATGAAACGGAAAAATAATCCACTTCCAATTTATTTTAATATAATAATATTGGTATCACTTCAAATATTCGCGGGAAATTGTTAACAACTTATCATTATAACATTGTAGTAGCACATAGTTTAAAACGATTTTGCACAACGAAGTAGACCATAGTCGTTGTCGAGTCCCGGGTCCTGAAATCGCAATAATTCAATTAGTACAGATAATGTACGTGGGTAGTGTTGCGCAATCGAATGAAATGTGATGTTTCCATCACGGAGACGCGATAAAACCGTTTAATTGTCAAACAATCATAATATGCAAAACAAATCTCCGATAAAAATAATGAAACATAATTATGATGACTGAAATTTTGTTTGTGACAACTATACATACTACTCGTATAAAACATGATATACGTATTTCATAGCAACACAAACAGAACGATAATTAAACTCAAAGATCTATTAATGGTGTTTACGTTTATAATAATGGTAATAACCAGAGGCAGATTGGGTATCAACTGGACCTATTATTATTACATTTAAATTAATAAATATTTTTGGTTAACTATGCTCAAAATATCCAAATTCGGATACTCTAATAGTAAATGATTTACCATTATAATTTAATATTACATTTTGTGTACGAGTAATTAATATAACACTATCGAGGGCTTTGGAGGCGATCACCCCTTTGCCTCCCTTACCAGTCTACTCCTGGTAATAATGGTAATAATTCGAATAAATATCATTACATATATGTATAATAAAGAGACCTATTCCGGCACAAATATAAAATGTATAAAATTCATTGTCACAGCACACGTGACTTACTCTAAGTCTAACTAATTGATATTGTTGATTAGGTTTAGAGTCTACTAGGTAAGTATGTAACTTACAGCAGTTAATAATAATAGTTCTACTAATCGTTCATGATAAAAATTATAAGTGAATAAAAAAAAACCCTTGTCATTACAAATCACATTTCAAACATTACTATTCATATATGAAACATAAGAGCATCAAATGCAGACGCGGTTAATCAGTGAAATATTGGCGTCGTAGAGTTCAATAAGCTCAAAGTTTAATCGTTGAAATTATAAAACGATCACGAACACAGTATTTGGAAATTGAAATATCATTTTAATATATTATAATGGGTACTTAACTGATTTAGGTTAACGATTTTGTGATGAAAAACGTTGATTACCTTTTTTTGTATCAAACAAAAAATATTATAATGATATTATAAACAACCGTGCGATCATAATGTTTAGGTCGTATGGAAATAATTTTCACCGAGATGGTAAGTTTGTGAAAACATAATATCAGCATTACTTATGGAAAATCTTAATAAATAAAAGTATATTCTCGCATATCACATTTACCCTCAGTCCAAAAAATATTCTCTCCCTCTTCGTTTTTATCAATGACAAAATAATCCTTATGGATAGCACTGTCAATGATCTAGGTTTCCATCCCAATAAAGGACTGACTTGGGTAACCCGTATAAAAACAAAATAGAAATCTTTTAACCCCAGATTTCACAAACTAAGACAACTACTCCGATCAAAAATGTCACTAGAAAAACAAAATATAAATTTATAAGCAATTGATATTCCAAGAAATGAAGTATGATATTTAATTTTTGAAGCACGGTAAAGATATCATATTTCCCCAAACTTAAATTAATATTCTAAATATAGCAAAAAATTGGGATCTTCTCTGGTCGAAACTCACATCCCTCTCAGCTTTTTCGGTGATCCACTAGAGGCGTACGTTTCTTTTACAGATATAGTCATTAGAGCAGCTAACTCAAGCATAACCAAATCTAAATCTTCTCTCCAGGATAAGGCCTCCTCTATCTGGTGGAATGATAACTGCACAGCCACAGTCAAAGCTAGATCTACTGCATTCCGGTTGTTTAGACAGTCTGAAACTTTTTTCAATTTCCTGATTTATAAAAACCAATGCGCAATCACTCGGAGAACACTTAAATTCGCCAAATTATCAGCATAGAGAGAATTCACCTCCACACTCAACCCTAGTACTCCTATTTCAACCTTTTGGTTCAACCTTTTGGTCCACAGCCAAAAAATTCAGACAAATGATCACTCCCACCTCTTCAGCTGCTAATGAAGATTGGTTTGATAATTTCTGTTCAAAAGTTGCCCCAAATTATGTCCCTATGTACAATGAAGTTGAATACACTTAATGTACTAATACAAGAGTCCATGTAGAGAACCACATCCTAACGAAGCCTTTTTTACTGATTGAACTACTAAATGCTATCAACTTCAGAAGATCTCCTGCTTCTGGATTAGACTCTATTTCCTCTATCTTCATTAAAAACCTGCCGGAGAGAGCTATCAGCTGTTTACTAGATATATTTAACATTATTTCTGTTCGTTATAATATAACATACATCTGCATGCAAGCGACTTCATTGTACAGTATATACTAGTCAATAGTCAGTCCATTATATTTTAGGTAATTATTTTCCCATTTATTTACTGCATATTGTACCGCATATTTTGATGTTTTTAACACAATTTATGCGCATATTTTAGTACTTTTTAGCGCATAAAGCTCCGAGTCTTGATCATAATTAATTTTTATTATAACCAAGATATTTATTCTATTAATTTAATAAGATATTTACATTTTATACATTATGAATAGCACATTATTTTATTGTATTTATAGTTTTATGTAACATGAACCAGCAACTTAAAAGGAAAAAATATATAAATTACGTGAACGAATATAATTATCTTGTACACAAAAGACGAATTAGTATAATTCCATCTTTTGTATATATTTTAGAAAATTTTGTCTAAGAATCCGAATTAAGGTTAATTCTTAATTAATTAAGGTAAATCGTAAATATTTGAATATAAATACTTAAAGTTTTCATGTGTAAAGTGTGACACATAGAAATTTTAAATAGCAATTTAGAAATTATTCTCATTTTTAATTTTTATTATGTATACAATTGATTAATTAAAATTTGTATGTATTAAAGATGGCATGTACGACCATTGCTGCAAGAACGTTCTAATTTA